CTCTCCGTCTGCTTCTGCTGCAGTTCACGGTTCTTCCTACTAAGATGCTCCTCTAACTTGAAAAGCTTCTGCTTTACGATTGCTTGCTCGCGTTGGGTCCGCTTCAGCATGTGCTCATAAACTTTGCGGGTGGTCTCGGCTTCCTTGATTAGTCCGCCTTTCTCATCGACCTGTTTCCCTCTCTTTGCATCATACCCAGTCAACTCAATGAGCTGCTTGTTTAAGACATCCTCGGTTTCGTAAATCTTGTCCGCTGACTCACCTTTGTTCATGTCCATGTGCTCTTGGTCCGCAGTTCGGATTGCGTCCCTCAGTCGATTGAGCCGCGCCTGCTTGGCCTCCGCCTCTTCATGCACTTGGTCATATTGCTGGTGCACCCGGATCAAGGCCTTCTTGACCTCCTCCAAAACACCATCTTCTTTCGTCACGAGGGCATTCGTGGTTCGTTCCACGAGCCTGATGAAGTCGTGACTTGCGCTCCCCGGCTTGAAGGTTGGCGGCGGCATGTTGCACAAAGGCTCCTGGTCCTAAACAACAAAAACACTGGTGAGGGTTCTAGCAGGCTCCAGGTGCTGCTTCACAGACGTAGTGGACATCAGGCCTGGTTGGAGAACTTGTGAATTCGCTCAAGCTTGGAAAAAGCCGGTTGAGCCGTAGCAGGCTGCAAGGTTGAACTTGCTTCAACATTGAGCTTTCAAGCATGGCGGCATTCGGTGGCCGATGTGCATGAGCAGTGTACCCGCTCACCTTGCCGCTTGCACTTTCGAGCAAGAATTCGGACCCTCTGACCGCGCCGGCGGGCCTCTTCATCCTCGATGGTCACAAGCTTGAGCAGCTCAGCCTGTGACCTCAAAGGCTGACTTTGCAGGAACTTTCTGCTAGTGACCTGGTCACGTTTGTTTCTGTTCTTCACTGGCTTTAGCAGAGCTCAGATCAACATGCGTGGGTGCTCGACCTTATCAATACAACAACAACAACAACAACAACAACAACAACAACAACAACAACAACAACAACAACAACAACAACAACAACAACAACAACCACCACAACCACAACCACCACCACCACCACCACCACCACCACCACTACTACTACTACTACTACTACTACTACTACTACTACTACTACTACTACTACTACTTACACTACTACTTACACTACTACTACCACTACTACTACTAATACTAACTACTACTACTACTACTACTACTACTACTACTACTACTACTACTACTACTACTACTACTACTACTATAATACTACTACTACTACTACTACTACTACTACTACTACTACTACTACTACTACTACTACTACTACTACTACTACTACTACTACTACTACTACTACTACTACTACTACTACTACTACTACTACTACTACTACTACTACTACTTACTCCTACTCCTACTCCTACTACTACTACTACTACTACTACTCCTACTCCTACTCCTACTCCTACTACTACTACTACTACTACTGCTGCTACTACTACTGATACTACTACTACTACTACTGCTACTACTACTGCTACTACTACACTACTACTACTACTACTACTACTACTACTACTACTACTACTACTACTACTACTACTACTACTGCTACTACTACTACTACTACTACTACTACTACTACTGCTACTACTACTACTACTACTACTACTACTACTGCGCACTGCAGAAACCCTTTGCAGGACATCGGGCGCCAGATCCCAGCAGGTCGTACCCCTGGGGCATCAATGCGAACGTGATGACGCTTTGAGTTTACTGTTTTGCATGGCCGAGACAGCATGCCATCAAGTCAACCCCACCCCGCCACCCCAACCCCCACCCCCATCCTGCCCCAAGGTTCGGCGCGGTCCATGGCAAAGCAACAAGTCCGACCCCCGATCATGCTACCAAAGAAGACGCCGTCGATGCACCGGTCTCCGACTCCGGGAATCCTGCCACTGAGCGCGCTCAAAATTCCACACACAGTAGGTCCAACTTTTGGAAAGTGGTCCCGCGCAGCAGCAAGCGACGAGAAACAGATTGTAAAACCAATCAAGCTTCGGAAAGAACACATCGATATGCTTTGATACTTGGGGGAGCTCGTCTGAAAGAGTGTTGCTGAAGGGGCGACATGAACAGTTTCAAGAAGGCCAGCCCGCCCCGACAGACCCAGTTGCACTCTCGGTCGTGGCTCAAGAACCTCACGGCTGTGCAACTGACAAATGGTCTGAACGCGTGAAAAAACACATTTTGTATCAATGGGCTCCCTGAACCCGAAGCCGCTGTTGGAATTGTGCCGACGAATCCCGTCTCAATCAAATGCAGTTTAGGAGTTTAGGGAACTAGGAATCAGACGGGTTCAGGGTGTCGATCGTTCGAATAAGGGGTGGATGCATGTCATCGTCGAGACGACAACCCCAACAACAATAACAAGAAGAACGTGTCTGCCTAGGTGCACCCAACATGAATTAAAGCCGTTGAAATGAGCCTTGCTGAACTCAAGACACCAATCTCTACGAGCTTTCGTGCAGCCCCGTGACACAGTGAGCCGTGCTGGCCATGGCCGCCATGCGCCATGGCCGAAGAGGCAAGGAAGGCCCAGGAAGGCTCTACTCTTCAAGCCGCCTGGCACAGGACGAGATGGTGACCTCGAAAGGATGGGGATCGAAGTCGTGTCAGCAGTGGCTATGGAAGGTGTGAAAAACAAACGTGCATTGAAGCCAAAACTCGGCAAACAGCTCACGCTGCTGCCCTCCTCTGGCCGCACCGGCCGGGCCGCCAGTTCCCGCAGCCTCGACGCCAACGCTGCCAAGTGTCAGCTACTCCCAAGTCGAAGCCGCATGGGGAAAGGATGCAAACCAAGAACAAATCCACCGTGCCCATATGCTGATGCAGCTCACACCTGCTGATGCTTTGCAAAAGGATGCAGGAGGCGTTGGGAGCGCTGCTTGCTGTAGATCTCCTCTTTCCGAATGCGCTGCCTTGGTCGAAACTGTTGTCATGAGCAGTTGAGAGACTCGTTCAGGCTTTTGATCATGAACCGATGGGGTCCATACATGACGGATGGGGAACGAACAGTATCTGTGGGCATGAGATGGTGGTAGTTGAGTACGTGTGGCTGCGGCAAAAACGGTGGCATTAATGGTGGTGTTGGTGGTGGTGGTGCTGCTGCTGATAGGAAGAGCAGGAGGAGGAGGAAGAGGAGGAGGAGGAGGGCTTCAAAACCCGCAAAATCCGGAAGCTCTCTGAGATGGCAGGCTCGTTCTTGAGGTCCTCCCGGAGGAGAGCCAGCGAGGCTTCCTGGCTCCATCCCCGTTCCCCCAGCCCGACTTTTCGCAACGAGCCTTACAGGGTTTCGGGGGGGAAAGTGGTGTTGCTGGAGTCTAGAGGACAAGGTCACGCAGGTGTCAGCTGGAAGGTCCGCGAGCCTGCTTGCCGAAGGCCAGGCCCTGCGTCCTCTGGAGCTCTGCCAGCTCCTGTACGACACCGGATCCCACTCCGAACCAGTGCCGGTACAGCCGCGCTAATCAGTGCAAAACCGAAGGCCTCCACTCGATGCCGACCAATCTCTAGGTCGTGCAGGCGCTGCGCCTCACACCATGCACTCATCATCATCATCATCATCATCGATGCTACGGAAAGTGCAGCAAGTACTAGTACTGCAGCAAAAAGCAACAACCGCAACGACAGGTCAATAGTGGCGGTGACAGCGGTCTTGATGATACTGATTCATACTGTAACAAATAGAAACATCAGAACGGAGTGATGCCACGCAGCAGAATAAGAATGAGAATACATGCATTGAGTCCAATTGGAACTGTGGGGCATGCAGCATGAGTGACGATAACGCCAGCACGAAAATTAGCAGCAGCAAGGTGAACAAAAACGAGATAGACCAAAGGCAGGGTGATTGTCAGCAGAACGACCGTTGGGATTATTGGGAGAGCCACAGCGCTACTGAAGATACTGCCAATGAGACTACTACAAATTTGGCGTTGACTTGCCGGGGCTCTGATTGATAGGGAAAGCTAGAGACAGCACAGGCATCGATTTCGGAGCTCTGGCTACCTGGCCACCCATGTCTGCTTCGATGCGGTCCATTCGGAAAGAGATCTCCTGGAGCCGTTGCGATGTTACTTGGGGCTTGTTCAATCAGATTAGAAGCTCCGACAGCCACCCATGCACAAACTCCCACACCCCACCAGCTGTGAGCTTCGATGGACGTCCTGGCTTGGATGGGCTCCGGGGCTGCTCCCACTTCGCTGGCTTTCGCTGGTTTTTTCCGTGTCTCTCACTTTGGAAGCTCGCTTCATTGCCTCACCTCCCTCCTTTGAGAGAGGCGCATGCAGGGGAGCCCCTCCCACATGGGAGGCCCACAGAACACTGCTTCCATGCACCCAAAGCCAAGGATCTGACGATCTACCCACCCCACCCTAGCCAGCTCCCGTGAAAAACGGGAGGGGCTCCAGCCCACCTTGGCCCAGCGTGGCCTGCTTTTCCACAGGCCAACGCAGCCAGCGAATTATGCATACATCCTGTTCGGAGGGCTGGATGGTCGGCACTTCTCTCAGACTCGTGGTTGCATTACCAGTCTCAGACTGCAGCCGAGGCTCAACCCTCATCCGACAGTGAAACCGAAGAGTCTCCCAACACTGGGAATAGACAATAGCCCATGCGCAAAGCTCCCTAAACCCACTTTCATGCTGCTCTAATTAACGCCATCGACAACATTGACATGGTGCCAACGTGGCAAACCCTGGCCAAAGCCCGCACGAGACAAGGCGTCTGAGCAGGGAGATCGAGGTTGTTCCTCTCAAGATCCACTCTGACACAAGCTGGGCAGCTGACAATGTCGAGTCTACTAATCATCATGATACCTTTGCCCATTTGAGTTGTGTGGGTGCGAATCAGACTCGCCTCAACTCCCAGCCTCCCGGCACGAGCTCGCTGCCCAGCGACCCTCGAGTCGTGCACGGTGCCACTTCAGACTCGGCCTCCTGGGCCTCATCTCCTTGGCCAGTGCTTCCCAACCCTCCCCGCGTCCCTGTCCCGACCGGGAAAGGCCGAGAGGCATCAGCTTCGCGGAGGCAGTCGTGTGGTCTGGATACAACACCTCCACCTCACGCAGAGACACATCTATCTTCTCACATACAGTATTGAAGGCGTGTGACGCGACGAAAACCTGAAACCTGGCCTGCTTGACTCGCGGTGCAGGCTTCAGCGCTGGCTCCTCAGGGGCAAGGAACATGCGCGGGTTCTTCAGGCTCAGATGGCGAAAGGTACCGCTTCGAACACCGAAACCCACACGACTCTTCCTGCTGCTTGCAGTTGACAGGGGAACATGCTTTGACTTGGGAATGCTTAAGCTTGGCCCCGCAGTGGCAGAACATTGACCGCACTGCACGACATGACCTGAGAAAGAAGAAACCCACAGCAGCCCACCCTGGAGCGGAAGAGCGGGAAGCACAGCAGGGCGAAGAATATGCCAAGCAAGCATGCCTCACACAACAAAGGTCTCCAGCTTGAATGTTCTGTTTAGGCTACCTAGCAAATTAATCGAAAGTTTGGGGCGTCTGGGTTCCCCCTTGGGCAGTGGCAAAGTGCAACAACTCTCGGAAATTGGGCATGGCATTCTGGGGCGGTTTTTGGACATGCTCGCCAACTCTGAACAACGGTAGATGCACGCTCTCCGACGCCAGCTCTACACAGGCTGTCAAGCCGCCCCTGCCAGCGAGATCCAAAGCCAAGGGCCCGTCTCTGGGTTGGAGAGCTCCTGCACAGCTGTTTTTCTGGCTATGGCTATGGATGGGAGAGGAACCGCACAGCAAAGGGCCTGGCGAAACTTCCCGAGCCGTGTTTTGGAGAGAATCGGCGTGTAGGGCACCTGGGTGGGTCGGGCTTCGGTTCAGGCAGGTCGCAAGCTGGGGGGTACGGTTGATGATATAAATCCTGCATTACCTTAAGGACCCTAAACTATGGGAATTATGGTATATCCCTTATTATGGGCAATGCAGGATTGATATCATCAACCGTATGTCCAGGTGTGGGTGGCAAGTGCCCTGCCCATATCGCTGAGATGACGAAGTTAAACTACTACTTAGACTTGCATCAATGCCCAACCTGCATACATCGACTTCCGACTCCGCCGGTGTTTGGCACAACCCAAACAAGAATGCCAGCACTGTTGCAGGAAGACCCAAAGCGGACAAAGCCATAGGAACAAGTCTCACAAGGACCCCAGGCAAAGCCGTCTTTAAGGCTGCCTCTTAATGATGCAGGTTTCTTCTAGCTCTTGAACGGAAGCGTTCCCAAAATTCCCATGGCCGAGGCAGCGAAAACATGCAGCTGTTCTATGTCCCAATCGATGCTAGCTGCTACAGCTCTAATACGCCACTGCTCCACGATGCAGCATGCTCTGTGGCTCCGAAAGCGGCGGAGAGATTGGGGACAGCAAGTGACACGGAAGGGACAGGATGTGAACCTGGTTGCATCGGGACCGTCTCTGAGTGCTGCACTTCCGGCAGATCCGGGTGTGGCGTTGTCAGCTCTGGCGCTGCTGCAATCGGAGCTGTAGTCGCAGTTACCTGGGACAACTGCAGCAGAATCTTCGCTCGGATGAAAGCAAAAGGTTGTTCTGAAGTGTCAAACTTTCAATTCCGACATGGATTTAACGTGGGGTGGGGACAACAATGACACCGACGCCTTCTTGAGATGTCCCAGGCACTGGCTTTGGGCCACACTTGGCCTCATCCCAGGTCCCAGTGCAACTCGGGAAGCACACCTCCTGCACCTCCAGTCCAAGCAGTCGAACGAAGTCGCTTGGGCTAGCTTCACTGGTATTCTGATTTGTGATACATTTGGGCATTTGGGGAGTTCTGAGCAGGTTTTTTACTAGCTCGAAGGCACACGCACGGGCTTGTGCTCAAGAGCGGTAGCCACTGCGAAGTGTATTTCTCACTTTGCCGCGCACGTTAACAGAGCTGGGAGTGCTTCCTCCGTATTCTTCCAGAATATCCGGAGGGCCGTGGGACATCAGACAACAACAGCAAGCAGTCAGGTGGGTCAAGCTAGAAGCACGGCTGGTTGGGTGGTGGCTGCACGGTCCCAATTCTATCCGCGAACGGCCTCAATGTCCACGTCTGACTGCAGAGTCGGGCGCTCCTGACAGAACCGGGAGCAATTCACATCGTCTGAGCATCGGACTGGGACAGGCGGGACCCTGGAAAGGTCTCTGCAGCCTCTCCTCCAGCTTTAGCATCTTGTACATGGCCTGCAGGAATGGCCACTCTTTTTCGTCCACACCTCGGGCAATCTCAGCATGAAGCTGATTGCAGCTCAGCTCATCTGCTGATTGTGTTAGACAGATGGAGGAGAACTGGCTGCAGCTGCAGAGCCAATCCCACCATGGACCACGAACCAGTGGAGCGCATCAAAGCACGTCGATTTCGCGTTGGTGTGCAGGACACCTTCAGGCCATTGCCATTGAAAATTGAGATAGGAATGCTGTAGCCCAGCCAAACAAGCGCACGACAGAGAACCAGAACATTTGCACCAGTGCAACCTGTTGCCAGAAATTCGGTGGTGGTGGTGGTGGTGGTGGTGGTGGTGGTGGTGGTGGTGGTGGTGGTGGTGGTGGTGGTGGTGGTGGTGGTGGTGGTGGTGGTGGTGGTGGGTGGTGGTGGTGGTGGTGGTGGTGGTGGTGGTGGTGGTGGTGGTGGTGGTGGTGGTGGTGGTGGTGGTGGTGGTGGTGGTGGGTGGTGGTGGTGGTGGTGGTGGTGGTGGTGGTGGTTGGTGGGGTGGTGGTGGTGTGGTGGTGCTGTGGTGGTGGTGGTGCTGGTGGTGGTGCTGGTGGTGGTGGTGGTGGTGGTGGTGGTGGTGGTGGTGGTGGTGGTGGTGGTGGTGGTGGTGGTGGTGGTGGTGGTGGTGGTGGTGGTGGTGGTGGTGGTCGCATGGGTGGCCGTGGCGGTTGTGCCGCTCATGCTGAATGTGGCGATGAAGCAATGATGCTGTTGAGGCACATCATGATTTGACTACGACGACGATTGTGAAAAGATGATTACGATGATGAAGTTTCGGACGCCGTGAGAGAGATCACGATGCGATAGAAGAGGCAGCAGCATAAGCCACTGGCGTCATAGACGCGACGAGTTTCCCGTCCCCCCCCGAGCAACTTCTGTGGAACAAACCTGATGCCTCGTGTATGTCCCGCCTCGAGAGGCCCATTTGCAGGCATACACCAAAAAAACGAGGATAGCGATGACAAAAGAAGAAGATGAGGAGGAGGAGGAGGAGGCTGACGATGAGGATGATGAAGATGATGATGCTGCTGATGATGGGGAGGAGGATGATGCTGATGATGCTGATGGTCATGATGATGAGGAGGCGGAGGATGAGGAGGAGGAGGAGGAGGAGGATAGGGATGATGATGATGGTGGTGCTGGTGAGAATGGTGATAGTGGCTTTGATGACAATCTTGATGATAATGTTGATTATGATGATGCTGGTGACGACATGTGATAGCATGGTTGCGAAGTCGAAGGAATCTGCGAAGGCACCCTTTGAAGCAGCTTCCGCGAGCGGTGCCAAATCCAAAGTCTCCTGGTACGAGCAGGATTTGCGGCTCGTTGACCGGGAAGCTTACGCGCGAGACCATCGCTGGGCTATGGCCAGGTTCTAGATGGTTTGGGGCTCAAGGCTTGCACGCTTCCGTCAAAAGACACTTGCAATCGCTGCCCGGGCACAGACGCACCAGCTTGCGGAGCCGACACCCTTCTGTAGATGGCTAGCGAGTGATAGCATCCGTGATCTACCCATGGTTTGTCTTGAACTCCATCAGCCACAACTATGCATCTACAGCAGTCAGGAATAGTCCTCCTCTCGCGGCGCGGGCATCGTGCCGTTGCCTCGGACAAGAAGCCATGGCGTCTTAGTTACTTCGCTCCTTTCTGAAAAACAGCTGATGGCACTTCTGTGCACAGAAAATGCAAGGAAGCAGCCGGCCATCTGCTCCGCCTGCCAGGGTACGAGGGAAGCGAGAACGTCCCCACCCAGACCACAACTCGCAGACGGAGCCCAGGACGGGATGACTACCACAAATGCGCGGGGCCTGGCTGCAGAGCTTCGTGGCGGAGGAGACTCCGCAGATCCAGGGCATCAGCTTCATGCCTCGCACATACTGATACCTTCATCATGTCCTGTCTTGCCACTTGCACGAGCACCTCCGGACTTCTGCGAAAAGAGGGGCACCTCGATCGCCGCTCTGCCTTGCAGGCACTCCGGATTTGACCGTCGTGCTTCAGTGCTCAACCTTCAAGATTTTCCAAGTTTAGAGCTTTCCAGCTATGACGCAGAATGTATACCGACTTTCAGCATTACATTCATTGCTTCATTACACACATGTGTATTTACAGATTTCCATATATATATATATATATATACATATATATATATATAGAGAGAGAGAGAGAGAGAGACTGAGGGCGTTGCATCTAGACGTCATTAGGTGGCAGCTTAAAAGACTCCCGGGCCTGCACACTTCTCGAACTGCAGGCGCAGGGCCGGAGAGGTGTTCTCCGTGACGATGGCCACTCCGGTCAGTGTGCAAGGTTCGGCTTGGCCTGCCGGAGTATGGGTTCCAGGGTTCAGCGCCTGTGGCAAACCGAAACCCAGGTGACAAGAGAGGGTCACAATGCATCGACCTCCAGCCTGAAACTGAGGCGGCACCAACACGCGTCGAAGTCAGGACGATGGCAAGGGAGCCCGTCGTAAGTAGGTAGCATCGGGTGGATACTTCATCATGGAAAAGTTGATCTTACGTGGCACACATACATTGAGTCGGCATTGACAGGCGCGGCCTATGTACACCGCGATTTCCGACCTGTCGGTGTTTGCCTGGGATGCTGCGAGACCAGCGACATGCTCTAAGTCAGTTTTCTTGTGTAGCAGTTGAAGATGACGGAGCTGTTGATGTTGATGCCTGTCGGGATGATGCTGCTCGTGCTGCCGATGCTGCATATGCTAATGGCGACGATAAGATCATAACAGTGGTGATCATGACTTGTCGGTTACGATGCTTCTGGTTATCATAATAATGCTGATGATGGAAAGAAGCGACTCTCAGTGATAACACCAGTGGCGGTAGTAGCGGTGGTGGTAGTGGTGGTGGTGGTGGTGGTAGTGGTAGTAGTAGTAGTAGTAGTAGTAGTAGTAGTAGTAGTAGTAGTCGTAGTAGTAGTAGTAGTAGTAGTAGTAGTAGTAGCAGAAGCAGTAGTAGCAGCAGCAGCAGTAGCAGTAGTAGTAGCAGCAGCAGTAGCAATATCAATAGCAGTAGCAGTAGCGACAGCAGTAGCAGTGGTACTAGCAGTAGTAGCAGTAGCAGTAGCAGTGGCAGTGGTACTAGTAGTAGTAGCAGCAGCAGCAGTAGTAGTAGTAGTAGTAGTTGTTGTTGGCTTGTACTTGCTGCTGCAGCTGTAGCTGTAGCTGCAGTTGTTATTGTTGCTGCTTGTGGTGGTCGTGGTACTGGTGGTGGTCGTAGTCGTAGTCGTAGTCGTAGTCGTAGTAGTAGTAGTAGTAGTAGAAGTAGTAGTAGTCGTCGTAGTAGTCGTAGTCGTAGCAGTAGTAGCAGTAGTAGCAGTAGTAGTAGTAGTAGTAGTAGTAGGAGTAGTGGTAGTAGTAGTAGTAGCAGTAGTAGTAGTAGTACTACTACTACTAGTAGTAGTAGTAGTAGCAGTAGTAGTCGTAGTAGTAGTACTAGCAGCAACAGCAGCAGAACCAGTAGCAGTAGCTACCGTAGTCACGAGCAGTACCCACCCACTACTACAGCTACAAGCACCATCAAGCACTCTTGATACTGCATGCAATGATCTTCTTCTACCCTGAAAGCAAGCAGGTCTGTTGCAACGATCACGTGTCTAAGGATCCTGCGATCCAATCCCCGCCGAAGTGAGATTCATGGTCCCATTGGAACTGGCTTGACCTCCATGATGCTGCGAGAGGAAGTGGTTCCACATGCTGTCATTACAGTATCACAACGTGAACAGTACTGTCGTTCTGTTCCTTCACTGCCCTTGCCACTGTGCAATGGCTGGTCGTATGACGAGACCACTGTTGCTGCTGCCGTCCTACAGGATTACTAGTGAACTAGTGTGCCTCTAAACGAATTGCACGTGATTCAGGGGCATGGTGCAACAGTGACTACTGCTGCGTGGTTGCTTGCCGCAGGTTCACAGAACTGTCCCATGTACGGAGCCGCAGAAGCATGAACGGAGAATGACACACCTCTCAGTAGCTGTATTCACATTTCAAGAGATTGTACGATAAATAAAAATAATGATAATAATAATAATAATACTACTACTACTACTACTACTACTACTACTACTACTACTACTACTGTTTGGATGCGGTCATCTTCTCAACTCTCACTTGACTATGCCATGATCCTTGCTCACTTGTGCGCTGACAGGCCCATTCTATGACATTCTTCATCCCTACGAAAATCAGCCTGGCCCGGCGGCCTCTGAAATTCGAGTCCGCGAGTGCAAGTGGAAAAGGGTGGTTTCCGAACCGAAGAGGGGAGGATGCACATTCCGGACCCTGCGCAGAAACTGAACACACACTACCGCTGAAAGCATTCGCTTGGCATGACCTGTCTTTCGAGATCTGCTGTGATCAGCATGACCAGATGTGCTAGGTACTTCGACGTTCGCAAGGCATCATGCCAAGGGATTTCCCATTTTGCTCATCGGCATGTCATCGCCGTTGCACGGATTCTGTGTAGCCATCATGAGAACCGCCTTACCTTCTGGAATCAACTTCGTCAAAGACCGAAGCCCAGCGGACAAGAGGCTGCAGGCCGCTGCCCACACCACAGAGGCCGGTCAAGTGCACCTCGGTGTTACGACCCAAGGGGGCTTGGTCAAACTAGAAGCCGGAAATGACGGCCCGACCTTCCAACATGGAAGACTGGAATGCAGGGATACATCGATGTGTGAATGTTGATTGCTAGCGATAAGAACCTATATGTATAGTCTGCTTACCTGGGTGTCCTTGTTCACGACTAGCAGGTGCAGAAGAGGGAGCGCTCGTGGCCGTGGTCGTAGTCATCGTACTAGTAATAGTTGCAGAAGCAGTAGGAGCGGCAGCTGTAGCAGCAGGAGTGGGAGCAGGAGCGGGAGCAGGAGCAGGATCAGGAGCCGCAAGTAGTAGTAGTCGTCGCCGCTGCCGCTGGTGCTGGTGCCGGTGCTGTTGTTGTCTTTGTTAGGTGCCGCTGGCCACTTCTCTTCGTGATTCAAGAGGGTCTGCCTTCTCATCGGCATTTTGCCCTTTGGTCTGACACGACCAACACCATCATTGTGCACATTTCTGCCCGTTACTGCCGCCCCCCTAAAAAAAGGGAACTCAACAAGATTGCAGCAGCCCAACTCACTCGGTGCCTGTCGACGAGTAGCTGAAGCTTCAGCGAATTCGCACTGGTCATTGCAGGGTACTTCCAAACGAATCTGACGGCAAGCTCGGCGGAGGTCCTGCTGTGTGGAGGTCTTCTGAACCTTTAGAATTCATGTGCTCGTCGGGTGTTGTTGGTGCTGGTGCTGGTGCTGCTGGTGCTGATGCTGCTGGTGCTGCTGTTGCTGCTGGTGCTTCTGGTGCTGCTGGTGCTGCTGTTGCTGCTGGTGCTGCTGTTGCTGCTGTTGCTGCTGTTGCTGCTGTTGCTGCTGGTGCTGCTGGTGCTGCTGTTGCTGCTGTTGCTGCTGTTGCTGCTGGTGCTGCTGGTGCTGCTGGTGCTGCTGGTGCTGGTTGTGCTGGTGGTGCTGGTGGTGCTGGTGGCGCTGGTGGCGCTGGTGGCGCTGGTGGTGCTGGTGGTGCTGGTGGTGCTGGTGGTGCTGGTGGTGCTGGTGGTGCTGGTGGTGCTGGTGGTGCTGGTGGTGCTGGTGGTGCTGGTGGTGCTGGTGGTGCTGGTGGTGCTGGTGGTGCTGGTGGTGCTGGGTATTGTTGCTGGTGCCGGTGCCGATGCCGGTGCTGATGTTGGTGGCGTTGCTGTTGCTGTGGTGCTGGCTGTGGCTGTGGCTTTTGTTGTTGTAGTTGTTGCAGCTGCTGTTGTCTGTGTCTATTGGTGCCACCATTATTGTGTGCTTCTCATGCTCTTGTTGTTGGTGGGACGGCGGTGCATTTGTAGTTGCTGTTGATGGTTTCTTGCCCATCACTGTTCCACATGCTGTCTGTGCAACACTCCGTTCATCTTGAGTGCGGGTGCTGTGGGCGGTGTGGGATGTGTGGGCGATGTGGGCTGGTCGGCGGCGGCGGTGGTGGCGTTGGCGGTCTTCTCGTTTAACTATGACTTTATGAAATTACAGTACTGTTATGATAAGCATGAACAGGGACAGGCACCGGCTGGTTAAGGGGCGCCGCCCTCAGCGTGCCCAAGTGGACGTCCAGCGAGCTGGCGCGCACAAGGATCTCAATGAAAACTCTTTGCCCGTTTGAGTTTGGCTACCCTGGCTCTCAGAGCGGGTAAATGTTGCATGCTCACACATACACGCACACAAGTAAAAACTTCACAGTACCCACCTTCAAACCCCTTCAAACACCTTCGTATGATGTGTGAGACTGACTACTTAGAGGTTACAGCAACAGTCTCGCGCAGTTTGCTAAGCCTCAAAAGCGCCCAAACCCAGAGAAATCGATATGTCCACCACTCAATCCTTTCGATCCCCTAAACCTTATGGTGGAGGGCCGGCTGGCCCTCGGCCACCAGTCTTGCACCGAAAGGGTTTTATGTCGAGGATGCGAGGCTGTCAAAGGACTTGGACGTTTCGCTTGCGCGAGATGATTCCTGAACCAACTCTTTCCCCCCTGTTAGCTTGCTGCTCCACGCGCGGCCTCAGGCCTCTCAACCCTTCTGAGAGCTGAAGGCTTGAAAACGAAAAGCTCATAAACCGATGCAAACAAGTCAGCCAGGCTCCATGATAACGGCAGGCCTTGGTTGTTGAACGCTCAGCTTACTCTATGATCCTGGTATCTAACTCAACATTGCTGATTTCTCTTGCTGAGCGACATCATATAGCGTACTGCCAAAATGCTGTTATGATGTTGAAAAATTTGTCGCACATGTCGGCTGAATAAAACAGTGAGATCGGCTGGTGAAATTTGACGTCGCAGACATGGAAGCATGCAGGACAAGAGAGGAGCATTGAGGAGCATTCACGTGCACTTGACATACCCGCGCTCAAGGGAGCGTGCACATGCTGTGATTCTTCTTACCCACAAGAATCACAAGATTGAGACCGATTGCCGAATTTTCCGGGTGGTAGTAGAATTGCGTCACAGTAGAAACAATCTTTTCGGTCGTCGTCGTCGTCCTATGCAGTCACCCCTGGGGGAAGCAACAGTAGCACTGCCACCGATGCCAGTGTTTCACAAGGCCAGAGTTCCAAATTCAACTTGGGTCAGAAGCATTGGTTAGCCATTCTTGCAGTTGCGGGGCCGCCAGAAGCCGGCATTCAGCGGCGTATCCTCCCAAGCCACCCGAATTTGCAGCAATCACTACACGCGTAACTCTAGGACTCTAAGGATTGGAGCATCGATACTTCACCAGACGCAACATCATGAATTGGAACCCTTCCCCCGGCGGTCCGCCAGCTTGTCGCAGTTCTCAACGTTAGCAGCCACAACGTGCCACAGGGCCCTTGGTTGAGTCAACACTTCAATACTAACAGCAGAGCAGGAGGATCGAAATGCTCCCAAGCGGCCACACGAGGGAGGACGTCATGGATCCAGCCATGGCCGGTGCGCACAGCGTGAAAACAGGAGCAACGGAAGAAGCACCACTGATGCAAGAAGACTAGTCCTAGGCGGAGCGGCTCTAGATGGTTGACCGCTTTTGCCCAAGGTTCAGCCTGTTTGGAGCAGTATTCGGCTGGAGCAGCCCACATGCAGCACCCCTCTTCGAAACTCATTGCACCATCATCTTCTGATCATCTTGTGCTTCTGAGCCTGCAACGGATATCTACTTGCAGGTTCCCCCTCAGCCTCGTTGTGCACCAAAGCTCTCAGCCCCATCCCGCGCGGTCCCGTCCGAGCTCCGAGACTGCCTGCGTGACTTTCAGAACCTGAAGACGATGGCCTTCGGACACCTGCCAAGCGACATTCTGCTTTGAGCAGTCTGCCCCAGCTTCCCGCTTTCCCCCGTAACGAAGAGCCCCTACCCCTCCCAGTGCATTCGACACTCCACGGGACCGTCGAGTGCGGCTCTGGGTGCCGGACAGCACTCAGCTCGTTGGAGACGGCCGCCACTCGAGTCTCCGAGTCGCGCAGCGCCGCAGCCTTGAATGCAAAGTGGAGCCTCTGTGGGCCTTGGCCTTTTCTTTCGGCGGCCATGGAGGGCTCTTAATCCACTGTGATGCTGGGAATGCTGGGTTTCGCGATACCCGCCCTGAATCCACTCCAAGTCTCCCGCTGCTTCCTGCGAGAGGTCTCTGTTGAACTTGGGTGTTTGCTTTGGATACACTCTGCCTGTTACCCGTCCGTCTGGGCTAAAGGGTAGGAACGAGCGGCTTGTGTGGAAAGTCCAAGGGCAAGTAGAAGGCATTTGGACTGTCTACACTGGACTCCAGAGTTGAGTCTAGAATGCCTCATTTCAGGCTCTGCACAACGAAGGTGTTGAAACAGAGCCCCGCATTTTGGGAATCCCTCCCCCCGCCAGGGTCGATGAGGACCGGGCATGTGCTGCGTTCTGTGCTTTCAGCCTCTCATCGACCAGGCGCTCGAAACCACGCCCCGAATCCTCACGCGTGGTTGGCCACAACAAGACTAATCACCGTGGCACCATCAGATCATTCGCCCTCCGCAGCATGACAGCATTTCCAGCTGAAAAGATTAAGAAGTGGGTGGCGAGTGACGCAGGACTGACTGATTTAGGGTGATGGGTGGTTACCTTCCATTGAAGCTGCCACTGCGTCACTTTGTTTTCTGCGCCGTCTTCGGCTCAAGTTGTCGGGTTCAGCCGCTCGACAAAATACAGCGAGTAGCTATTGTCCTGCCATCGCAGAGCTGTGACAAGGCGGGGGAGGTCTATTTGCATTCTTGCCATGGACTCAGACAGGAATCGGCTGCTTCTCTCACATGCAAGTCTCAAGAAACCGGCCATTGCCAGCCTTGCCCAGGCTGGGGTGGTAGTGGCGCAGTCGTCGGAAGAAGGCGCACTGGGTCTCCAGCCCTCGGCCACATTGCAACTCCACGCAACTGTGGAGACATCAGAGGACTTCAGTCATGCGAGCCACTGTCAAGGTCTTCCCTGAGCCGGAATGCACCGAAGGCAGCCGAGTAGCTTTCGATGCGACAGCTCAGGCCTGGACAAAGCTTCGAGGAAAAAAAGGACAACGACCACATGATAGCGAGACGGTGAAAGGCAACTTATTAACCTTGGCTGTGATTGCTATCATCATGATTGCTAGCATCATCATCATCATCATCATCGCTGTTGCTTTTTCTGCCGCAACTAGGTTGCTTAATCTTAGATTTGTCCAAGTGCACATATGCTTCTCCAGCCGCCGCTTGATTGTTCGGATCACTACAGGTAACACAAGATCAGACTGTTGACTCTTTTGAAGGTCGAACCCTCGGGCTCGTGCTCCCCAGCAGGCACCCGAGGCTGTGTGCAAACGGGCAAGGAGAGCAGTGAGTGTGCCAGTCAGTCCTTTGGCCAAAGACTCATCTTTGGCATGCATCAGGAATAGCAGTCTTTTATAGTAATCGGGTATCGGACTAAGCTTCCGCACCTGCACTTGGCAGCGCTTGGACGAAGCTTGCAAGGCGCGGCCGGGAGTCCGGCAGAAGGAACACGGCACCTGGCCGTATAGAGGCCCACACCCCAAACCCGTGGCGGGTTGTGTGGCGCACCAACACGAACAGATTGCGCAGAAGCTTCTCAGGTACAACTCCATCCATACCACCCAAGCCCAAGCCCCAGGCCCAAAACGAAAACCCAAAAAAGTGCGCCGCCTTGAAGCCCGCGACCCTACTTGGTAGGAGCTTCCAAAACTCCCTTGCACCGAGGAGCAGGGAGCCGGTCCCTCGTAGTCTCCTTGCGGCATGAAGAGCATGGCAGAGATCCTTGGGTCGTCCGAGGAAGTCAAGATGAAGAATTTGGGAGTAGGGTTTAGGGCTCATGAATAGTTTGGAGTCTTCAGTAGAGGTTCCTTAGAAGCTTTTCATGAATGGCTGAGTGATTTGGGCTTGGGGGGTTTGCAACTTCGATGTTCGAGGTGGGCTCGGCATTTGGCCTACTAGAGCTACCAACAATCAGAGATTGCTTCGGCTCTTGGACCTTCTCTGATGAGCAGCCCGTGTTACAAGATCCCAGCAAGGCATGAAACGCAGGCAAAGGAACACGAGCGCCAGCTGCCGGCCATGGTAAGAGTCGTACACGACGTCGCTGCCTAGCACCAGATGAAACCTCGGCCGTTCCACTCTGAAACTCGTGACAGCCTTTGTAGCAGGCCTGCCAATGCCTTCATCAGCCGATGCACTTGATTGTTCAGGATGCAAGGTGCAATCACGAAGTCTCTGAAGAGCCAGCTGAGCGTGCAACGAGCCCAACTGGTCTGTCTCGGCAAGCTCCTTCAAGGTGCCTGTTAGCAGCACATGATGCGATTCACCCTTAATTACATGCAGCCGGAATGTCATCAACAAGAGCCGACTATCGCAGCAGCTTGTCTGTGAGGGCATAGCAGCAAAGACATCGGTATGTGCACGTTGGCACTGAATTGTTGACGGCACTTTGCACTTCGCGGGCATGATGCCAAAGTCTTCCTTGTCTCCTCCTCCTCCGGCCCCTACCTAGGCCCCTAAGCCCGCGGCTTCCTGGCTGATCGCCACCTGCTTCCAGGGCGGCCGTGGTGAAGTCGCGGAAGTCCAAGCGCCCTGAAAGGCGAGTTGCCAAAGGATCCGCAGAGGCAGGGGTTGCACAGGACAGTTCATGTCTGGAGGACAGGACCATGACAGTTCTGTGTTGCAGAAACAGGTGCAAATCCTGATGTGAAAACGGTTTAGCAGAGTCGCGGTAAGGGGTGCGGCTCTGCACTCGCCCACTGGTTAGCTACATATGAGACTCCAGATTTGTCTTCCCTATGCTAGAGCGCTGTGGTCCTGTGGTCGGCTTGCGCTCATCTTCGTTGAAATTCGCGGCGATGTTGGTCTGAATCGCTGCGAGCACGGCAGGGTCATAGTCCTGCAAGCTCCGTAACTCTGTCACGTCATGTCGTACGTACACAACTGCAGGGATGGCAACTGAAACTCGCATGCAGGTTTCCGTCCGTCATCAACACATGTGCTTCCGGAAGTAACTTCCTGAGCTTTCCAAGCATCACTTCAAGCACATGCGGAGGGACCTTGCCCAAGATCACCTTGCATGTTGCCTCTCATGGGCCCTCCCATAGTCTTCAGAAGAGACTCTGGGCGGTTAGGCCCAGAAGGCCAAGCCCCGCACCCACTTCGAGCACCTTGAGGCCTTGGCGTCCCCGGGTCAACTCGTCACCGCCGTCTACTCTAGACGTCTCTTCTTCAATCACGGGCATCGGATTCCGCAACCTGGCCTGCTCCCGTGGCTTGCGGCAACTTCCTGAACAAGAGAAAAGGTTCAACGATGCGTGCCAACCTCATAACACACGATCTCAATGGTGACCACTTCGAGTCACGGCTTACAACCATAATGTTGCGGAGTGGAGGTAGGATCTCTGAGCCTTTCATGGGAACAAAGCTACGCTGAATCTTACTCAAGATCTCTTAAACCACACAGGATACTTGAGTTCTTCTCAACTTCTATGGCGCCTCCGATGCTCCGCGAGCCAGGAGGCTTGCAGAAGCGAAGCATCCCAGAGACGCCCCCCGATGGACTCCAGCACCTCCGTCAGCTGAGGCGGTTGGCTACTTAAGTTGCAAGATCTTTTGAGTTACTACAGTTTAAAGTTTAAGAATAACAGTCATACCACTGATTGGTAGCCCCAATCATGATGGCATCCACTCAACGAACGATGCCTATAAGCTCCCAAACACCGCTGCTCGGGACAGGCACCTTATGCAGGACGAGGTGCACCTCCCCGACCGTGGCAGGATCCTCCTGAAAGCGACGTAGGAAAGGTATACTATCATGTACTACTAACATAGCGTAGGCTCTATAGGAAAGGTATAAAATCATATATCTTGGTAGACTCCAATAGAAAGTACGATATGATATCTGGTTTTGTGGCCCAGAAGTCAGATACATAGATATGCAGAAAGAGACAGAGAAAAGCATAATATCAATACCCCATACATACAATATAAAATAGTATAATATAATATAATATAATATAATATAATATGATAAAATTAATATGTATATATGTGTATGTGTGTGTATATATATATATATACATATATATGGAGCGCAGGTTCTTTTAGAGCAGCTCCTCCGGCTCCTCTGAAAGCTCATCGTCGTGAGCGATGGGCTCCTGCCGCACCAGTCAGAACGCTTCCAGCACCCTCCGATACCCTCTGCTTGGAGGTTCATGGGTAGTTATAAGTAGGGAGGTATAAGTAGGGTAACCATACTAGGGGACTTGTAACCCTACTTATAACTACCCCTCCCATCTCCATTCAATCCTTTCGCACGTTGCTGATGTCATCGACCCTAGTCTCGCAGGTGTAGGACTCCATCGAGAACGGGATGCAGACGGATTCTGGCTTGCTTTCCTGGCTGCTTTCGCGTGCAAGCTGAGCTTCCAGTATCACACAAGTGCAGTAAATTGGTTCATTGGAGCCGTCCTGCCCTGATACATACTGATACTCTACACTACTGCCCTAGCACACACACGACGTTCCTTCAGGCTCGCATGGCCCAACAGCTACACACTCTTCCTTCCGAATCAAGAGCTCCTTGCGCAGACCCCGCTCACAAGTCAGGCGCGCCGGCAGTGCGGGCGTGGCTGCCCGCAGCGCCCGTTGTGCCGCCGCACGGCGAGCCGTGGCCTCCGCATGGTTTGGGCAAAGCCTCAGCAATCAAGGGCCGCGGCTCTGTGTTGGCTGGTATGTATCCTCCAGCGCGTCAGTGTTTAAGATTCTTGATCTCTCTTGCCGTGGCAAATCTGATTTCTGCAAAAAACCTTCGACGAAATTGGACCTTCGACACGATTTCTTCGGAGCAGACAGAGCAAATGAATTCAAAAAGGCGCACCACGACGTTCGTAGAGAAGGCTTCCGAGTTTGCTGTCGGGGGGGGGTTGGATCTCGGACTTCAGGCCAGGCTAGCGTGAAATCTGGGAGTGCCCCCCAGGATTTTCTTGCGGACGACCCGCATCCATCCCCTGGTGTCGGAGCTGACTACGAGAGCATGAACAACCCAGAACTTGAAACTAAATGCCCATGCCCGGAGGCGTGAGGCAGCGCTCGAAGCAGTCGACGGCATCAGCGAAGCAGCACATGCGGCACAGGGCCAGGCCCGAAGTGTAGTGCATCTCTGCCAGCTCGGAATCCTGGGTCTCAGGCGCAGAGGTGCACATCACATCACGTCACGTCGCTCTGAGGACGGATCGGCGAAGCCCGCTGCGGCTGCAGCCGCTCGCTTCAGCGCCGCCTCGCAGCGCCGCAGCGCTTCGGCAGCGTCCCCTCGGGGGCAAAGCGCCTGCGCCTCCGCGTGGAGGCGGCCTCGGAGTGACTCGCGGTGACTCGGATCTCTCGGCCGCGACCCGTCGCGACGAGTCTGGCAATGCTGGCCAGGGGCGGATGTCCATGAGCTCGCGCGCTCTCTGAAGGCGCCACTCTGCCTTCTGCACCAGGGAGCCTCAGGCTGATGCTTGAGCCACGGAGCAAACCGAGTCTCTGCCGCTCTCACCGCAGCTCAGGACCAGGCGAACATCTTCTTGCGGCAGCTCTGCCAGCATCACCAAAGCTGCCTGTCAGAGCTTGCCCGATCAACGGCCTTACTTGGAAGGCCACAGTGACTCAATCCGACGGCAAGCATGCGCTGCACACACTTCCAGCGAAAGACTCCGCGAAGCCGAAAGGCCTGAAATCGACATGGCCGTCCCTACACCGTCACGATAAGCAATGATACGCAACCGGCTCGATGCAATCGATCGAATGGCAACAGCACCGGCACCAGCACAACCACCCTGACGATTGCTACTGTGCTTACTGCCTGTTGCTGCTGTTTGTTCTCATTGCCGCAGCCTCGGCATCCTCAGCGCAGCTCGAGGCAGCATCGGCACCGGGACAGCGGAGGTGTGCCGCGGCCCGGTTGCACAGCAGCGTGGCGTGCTTGAGAGCCTGATTCAAACATCGTCGGGCCCGGTTTTTCATTAAAAGCCTGTCGCACGAGCTTTCCTGCGACTTGGGCGTCTGGGGGATTGGGCGTTTGCACATGACTGCGCCGAGTTGAATGAAGTCTTTGGGGCATGTCTGGCTTCGAACTGGCCGAAGACGGCCTCGGTGTTGGCCAACTCCGTAAAGGCCAGCGTATACGCCTCGCCACCGCGCAGACCGACTAAAATGGTACCCGCACAGGCAACAGGCTCACTGACTCACGAGCTACTCTCTCTATATGTAACTTGTGGGAACTCCCTTACCCACTTGCACTTACCTGCTTTCTTGTCTGCGCGTCGCCACCCTCACTTCCTCCCGCACCCGAAGGCCTGCACGGCTTCCTGGAAGAGCCCAGACTTGTAGAGGGCGTTGCCCTGGCAGTGCGACTGACCCGATCCGTCGCAACCTCACGCCCGAGCCCCGACTAAATCAGGCCAACCTCAGAAGTCACGGAAGTCAAAGCAAGAAATCTGCAGTCTGCAGGCCTCCTCCATGAGATCTCAATGCACAACCTGCGAAAGCTACTGGTAGCAAGACAGGCAGTCCAATAGGTGGCGAGAACTTTAAGCACCCGCGCACGTCCAGCTCTCAACATGACCCCCAACTGCAACCGACTGCATCTGCTGCAACCCCCCGGAAAAATTGGCGGGCAGCTGCAGTGAGCCTCAGCCGTCATCGTCGTTATCATCCTCACAGATCAGGAAGTGGCGGTCGAGGAGAACCGGTCCCAGCATGGACCTGGTCTTGCGTATTGTTTCGCAGCGAAGATGCCGAGCCCGAGCCGATCCGGCAAGGGAGGGTCAGCCCTTGACATGCCCCGTCAACTTTCGCTTGTGCAGCCATGGTGCAAGACAAGCCTATCCAGGTGAACAAAGATCTCATTATCGCTCATCGCCATTGCTGTAGAGACGAGGGGAGAACGGGAAGACTGGACTAGTCTGCTCCTGCTTGAGCTTCAACGTCGGCAACGCAAGCGGCTCATGGCTTCATGTAAGCTAGTCATGCCACGCACCATGCAGCTTCAGCGATCGCCTTACCGTCAGGCTAGCCCGACGAAAGAACATCCCATGCTGTCGCAAGACGATGCCGCTCCTAAAGCTGCCTCAGACACACAACCTGCCCATGCGTGGGCGAGCGCAGTCGTTTTCGCATCTCTCACCGGGGCACGGCGTAGGAGGTGTATCTTTCGAGGCCTGAGTCAGGGGCAAAGGAGCATGCTGCAGTGGCGGGGCTCTGCATCTTCACTCTGCCGTAGGTCCGAATCCACTCTTCAACCCTCAGCCTGAACTTCACAGCCATTGGCCATGATGCCACACCCCAAATGCCGTGCCCGAAATCCCCCTAGCCCCCTTCCAGTCTAAACCTGCATCTCCGAACCCTGAGCTCTAATCCTAGGCTTGACGAAAACCCCGAACGAAAACCCCGAAGCTTCCTGAGACCCAGCTCCTTCAAGGTGCCTGTTAGCAGCACATGATGCGATTCACCCTTGATTACATGCAGCCGGAATGTCATCAACAAGAGCCGACTATCGCAGCAGCTTGTCTTTGAGGGCATAGCAGCAAAGACATCGGTATGTGCACATTGGCACTCTATTGTTGACGGCACTTTGCACTTCGCGGGCATGCTGCCAAAGTCTTCCTTGTCTCCTCCTCCTCCGGCCCCTACCTAGGCCCCTAAGCCCGCGGCCTCCTGGCTGATCGCCACCTGCTTCCAGGGCGGCCGCGGTGAAGTCGCGGAAGTCCAAGCGTCCTGAAAGGCGAGTTGCCAAAGGATCCGCAGAGGCAGGGGTTGCACAGGACAGTTCATGTCTGGAGGACAGGACCATGACAGTTCTGTGTTGCAGAAGCAGGTGCAAATCCTGATGTGAAAACGGTTTAGCAGAGTCGCGGTAAGGGGTGCGGCTCTGCACTCGCCCACTGGTTAGCTACATATGAGACTCCAGATTTGTCTTCCCTATGCTCGAGCACTGTGGTCCTGTGGTCGGCTTGCGCTCATCTTCGTTGAAATTCGCGGCGATGTTGGTCTGAATCGCTGCGAGCACGGCAGGGTCGTAGTCCTGCAAGCTCCGTAACTCTGTCACGTCATGTCGTACGTACACAACTGCAGGGATGGCAACTGAAACTCGCATGCAGCCCCCTGTCCGTCATCAACACATGTGCTTCCGGAAGTAACTTCCTGAGCTTTCCAAGCATCACTTCAAGCACATGAGGAGGGACCTTCCCCAAGAGCACCTTGCATTTTGCAGATCATGGGCCCTCCCATAGTCTTCAGACGAGACTCTGGGCGGTTAGGCCCAGAAGGCCAAGCCCCGCACCCACTTCGAGCACCTTGAGGCCTTGGCGTCCCCGGGTCAACGTCACCGCCGTCTGCTCTAGACGTCTCTTCTTCAATCACGGGCATCGGATTCCCGAACCTGGCCTGCTCCCGTGGCTTGCGGCAACTTCCTGAACAACAGGAAAGGTTCAACGATGCGTGCCAACCTCACAACACACGATCTCAATGGTGACCACTTCGAGTCACGGCTTAGAACCATAATGTTGCGGAGTGGAGGTAGGATCTCTGAGCCTTTCATGGGAACAAAGCTACCCTGAATCTTACTCAAGATCTCTCAAACCACACAGGATACTTGAGTTCCTCTCAACTTCTATGGCGCCTCCGATGCTCCGCGAGCCAGGAGGCTTGCAGAAGCGAAGCGTCCCAGAGACGCCCCCCGATGGACTCCAGCACCTCCGTCAGCTGAGGCGGTTGGCTACTCAAGTTGCAAGGTCTTTTGAGTTCCCAAACACCGCTGCTTGCGACGGGCACCTTATCCAGGACGAGGTGCACCTCCCCGACCGTGGCAGGATCCTCCTGGAAGCGACGTAGGAAAGGTATACAATCATGTACTACTAATATAGCGTAGGCTCTATAGGAAAGGTATAAAACCATATATCTACTAGAATGTGGTAGATTTTAATAGCAAGTACAATATGATATCTGGTTTTGTGGCCCAGAAGTCTTTCTTGCGGGACGCTGCTAATGATGTCAATGTGTGTGTATATATGTATATATAACATTATACATAAATATATATGTATATATATATATATATACATACCAAGATAGAGAGAGAAAGATCAGATACATAGATAGGCAGAGAAAGAGACAGAGAAAAGCATAATATCAATATTACATATCCCTGAACCCGAAACAACAGAGATGTGGGCACAGTGGGGTACCCCATACATACATACATACATACATAGAATATCTATATATATATATATATACATGGAGTGCAGGTTCTTTTAGAGCAGCTCCTCCGGCTCCTCTGAAAGCTCATCGTCGTGACCGATGGGCTCCTGCCGCACCAGCGGGTCGGAACGCTTCCAGCACCCTCCGATACCCTCTGCTTGGAGGTTCATGGGTAGTAATAAGTAGGGTTATAAGTAGGGTAACCATATCCTGAACCTCCAAGTGCTCCCATCTCCATGCAATCCTTTCGCACGTTGCTGATGTCATCGACCCTGGTCTGGCAGGTGTAGGACTCCATCGAGAAGGGGATGCAGACGGATTCTGGCTTGCTTTCCTGGCTGCTTTCGCGTGCAAGCTGAGCTTCCAGTATCACACAAGTGCAGTAAATTGGTTCATTGGAGCCGTCCTGCCCTGATACATACTGATACTCTACACGACTGCCCTAGCACACACACGACGTTCCTTCAGGCTCGCATGGCCCAACGGCTACACACTCTTCCTTCCGAATCAAGATCTCCTTGCGCAGACCCCGCTCACAAGTCAGGCGCGCCGGCAGTGCGGGCGTGGCTGCCCGCAGCGCCCGTTGTGCCGCCGCACGGCGAGCCGTGGCCTCCGCATGGTTTGGGCAAAGCCTCAGCAATCAAGGGCCGCGGCTCTGTGTTGGCTGGTATGTATCCTCCAGCGCGTCAGTGTTTAAGACTCTTGATCTCTCTTGCCGTGGCAAATCTGATTTTGGACTTTCGACACGACTTTTTAGGAGCAGAGCAAATGAATTCAAAAAGGCGCACCACGACGTTCGTAGAGAAGGCTTCCGAGTTTGCTGTCGGGGGGGGTTGGATCTCGGACTTCAGGCCAGGCTAGCGTGAAATCTGGGAGTGCCCCCCAGGCTTTTCTTGCGAACGACCCGCATCCATCCCCTGGTGTCGGAGCTGACTGCGAGAGCATGAACAGCCCAGAACTTGAAACTAAATGCCCATGCCCGGAGGCGTGAGGCAGCGCTCGAAGCAGTCGACGGCATCAGCGAAGCAGCACATGCGGCACAGGGCCAGCCCCGAAGTGTAGTGCATCTCTGCCAGCTCGGAATCCTGGGTCTCAGGCGCAGAGTTGCACATCACATCACGTCACGTCGCTCTGAGGACGGATCGGCGAAGCCCGCTGCGGCTGCGGCCGCTCGCTTCAGCGCCGCCTCGCAGCGCCGCAGCGCTTCGGCAGCGTCCCCTCGGGGGCAAAGCACCTGTGCCTCCGCGTGGAGGCGGCCTCGGAGTGACTCGCGGTGGCTCGGATCTCGGCCGCGACCCGTCGCGACGAGTCTGGCAATGCTTGCCAGGGGCGGATGTCCATGAGCTCGCGCGCTCTCTGAAGGCGCCACTCTGCCTTCTGCACCAGGGAGCCTCAGGCTGATGCTTGAGCCACGGAGCAAACCGAGTCTCTGCCGCTCTCACCGCAGCTCAGGACCAGGCGAACATCTTCTTGCGGAAGCTCTGCCAGCATCACCAAAGCTGCCTGTCAGAGCTTGCCCGATCAACGGCCTTACTTGGAAGGCCGCAGTGACTCAATCCGACGGCAAGCATGGGCTGCACACACTTCCAGCGAAAGACTCCGCGAAGCCGAAAGCCCTGAAATCGACGTGGCCGTCCCTACACCGTCACTGATACGCAACCGGCTCAATGCAATCGATCGAATGGCAACAGCACCGGCACCAGCACAACCACCCTGACGATTGCTACTGTGCTTACTGCCTGTTGCTGCTGTTTGTTCTCATTGCCGCAGCCTCGGCATCCTCAGCGCAGCTCGAGGCAGCATCGGCACCGGGACAGCGGAGGTGTGCCGCGGCCCGGTTGCACAGCAGCGTGGCGTGCTTGAGAACCTGATTCAAACATCGTCGGGCCCGGTTCTTGATTGAAAGCCTGTCGCACGAGCTTTCCGGCGACTTGGGCGTCTGGGGGATTGGGCGTTTGCACATGACTGCGCCGAGTTGAATGAAGTCTTTGGGGCATGTCTGGCGAAGACGGCCTCGGTGTTGGCCAACTCCGTAAAGGCCAGCGTATACGCCTCGCCACCGCGCAGACCGACTAAAATGGTACCCGAACAGGCAACAGGCTCACTGACTCACGATCTACTCTCTATGTAACTTGTGGGAACTCCCTTACCCACTTGCACTTACCTGCGCGTCGCCACCCTCACTTCCTCCCGCACCCGAAGGCCTGCACGGCTTCCTGGAAGAGCCCAGACTTGTAGAGGGCGTTGCCCTGGCAGTGCGACTGACCCGATCCGTCGCAACCTCACGCCCGAGCCCCGACTAAATCAGGCCAACCTCAGAAGTCACGGAAGTCAAAGCAAGAAGTCTGCAGTCTGCAGGCCTCCTCCATGAGATCTCAATGCACAACCTGCGAAAGCTACTGGTAGCAAGACAGGCAGTCCAATAGGTGGCGAGAACTTTAAGCACCCGCGCACGTCCAGCTCTCAACATGACCCCCATCTGCAACCGACTGCATCTGCTGCGACCCCCCGGAAAAATTGGCGGGCAGCTGCAGTGAGCCTCAGCCGTCATCGTCGTTATCATCCTCACAGATCAGGAAGTGGCGGTCGAGGAGAACCGGTCCCAGCATGGACCTGGTCTTGCGTATTGAAGTGCCCGAGCCGATCCGGCAAGGGAGGGTCAGCCCTTGACATGCCCCCTCAACTTTCGCTTGTGCAGCCATGGTGCAAGACAAGCCTATCCAGATGAACAAAGATCTCATTATCGCTCATCGCCATGGCTGTAGAGACGAGGGGAGAACGGGAAGAACTGGACTAGTCTGCTCCTGCTTGAGCTTCAACGTCGGCAACGCAAGCGGCTCATGGCTTCATGTAATCTAGTCATGCCATGCACCATGCAGCTTCAGCGATCGCCTTACCGTCAGGCTAGCCCGACGAAAGAACATCCCATGCTGTCGCAAGACGATGCCGCTCCTAAAGCTGCCTCAGACACACAACCTGCCCATGCGTGGGCGAGCGCAGTCGTTTTCGCATCTCTCACCGGGGCACGGCGTAGGAGGTGTATCTTTCGAGGCCTGAGTCAGGGGCAAAGGAGCATGCTGCAGTGGCGGGGCTCTGCATCTTCACTCTGCCGTAGGTCCGAATCCACTCTTCAACCCTCAGCCTGAACTTCACAGCCATAGGCCATGATGCCACACCCCAAATGCCGTGCCCGAAATCCCCCTAGCCCCCTTCCAGTCTAAACCTGCATCTCCGAACCCTGAGCTCTAATCCTAGGCTTGACGAAAACCCCGAACGAAAACCCCGAAGCTTCCTGAGACCCAGCTCCTTCAAGGTGCCTGTTAGCAGCACATGATGCGATTCACCCTTGATTACATGCAGCCGGAATGTCATCAACAAGAGCCGACTATCGCAGCAGCTTGTCTTTGAGGGCATACTAGTAGCAGCAAAGACATCGGTATGTGCACATTGGCACTCTATTGTTGACGGCACTTTGCACTTCGCGGGCATGCTGCCAAAGTCTTCCTTGTCTCCTCCTCCTCCGGCCCCTACCTAGGCCCCTAAGCCCGCGGCCTCCTGGCTGATCGCCACCTGCTTCCAGGGCGGCCGCGGTGAAGTCGCGGAAGTCCAAGCGTCCTGAAAGGCGAGTTGCCAAAGGATCCGCAGAGGCAGGGGTTGCACAGGACAGTTCATGTCTGGAGGACAGGACCATGACAGTTCTGTGTTGCAGAAGCAGGTGCAAATCCTGATGTGAAAACGGTTTAGCAGAGTCGCGGTAAGGGGTGCGGCTCTGCACTCGCCCACTGGTTAGCTACATATGAGACTCCAGATTTGTCTTCCCTATGCTCGAGCACTGTGGTCCTGTGGTCGGCTTGCGCTCATCTTCGTTGAAATTCGCGGCGATGTTGGTCTGAATCGCTGCGAGCACGGCAGGGTCGTAGTCCTGCAAGCTCCGTAACTCTGTCACGTCATGTCGTACGTACACAACTGCAGGGATGGCAACTGAAACTCGCATGCAGGTTTCCGTCCGTCATCAACACATGTGCTTCCGGAAGTAACTTCCTGAGCTTTCCAAGCATCACTTCAAGCACATGCGGAGGGACCTTGCCCAAGATCACCTTGCATGTTGCCTCTCATGGGCCCTCCCATAGTCTTCAGGAGAGACTCTGGGCGGTTAGGCCCAGAAGGCCAAGCCCCGCACCCACTTCGAGCACCTTGAGGCCTTGGCGTCCCCGGGTCAACGTCACCGCCGTCTGCTCTAGACGTCTCTTCTTCAATCACGGGCATCGGATTCCCCAACCTGGCCTGCTCCCGTGGCTTGCGGCAACTTCCTGAACAAGGGAAAGGTTCAACGATGCGTGCCAACCTCATAACACACGATCTCAATGGTGACCACTTCGAGTCACGGCTTAGAACCATAATGTTGCGGAGTGGAGGTAGGATCTCTGAGCCTTTCATGGGAACAAAGCTACGCTGAATCTTACTCGAAGCGAAGCATCCCAGAGACGCCCCCCGATGGACTCCAGCACCTCCGTCAGCTGAGGCGGTTGGCTACTCAAGTTGCAAGATCCTTTGAGTTACTACAGTTTAAGAATAACAGTCATACCACTGATTGGTAGCCCCAATCATGATGGCATCCACTCAACGAGCTCCCAAACACCGCTGCTCGCGACGGGCACCTTATGCAGGACGAGGTGCACCTCCCCGACCGTGGCAGGATCCTCCTGAAAGCAACGTAGGAAAGGCATAGTATCATGTACTACTAACATAGCGTAGGCTCTATAGGAAAGGTATAAAATCATATATCTAGAATGCGGTAGACTCCAATAGAAAGTAGAATATGATATCTACATAGGCAGAAAGAGACAGAGAAAAACATAATATCAATATTACATATCCCTGAACCCGGAACAAAGATGTGGGCACAGTGGGGTACCCCATACATACATACATACATACATACATATAATATAAATGTATATATATATACATATCTGATATATGTGTATATGTATATATATATATATGTCTATATGTAGTGCTGTGGTGCAGGCTTTTTTGGAGCAGCTCCTCCGGCTCCTCTGAAAGCTCGTTGTCGTGACCGATGGGCTCCTGCCGCACCAGCGGGTCAGAACGCTTCCAGCACCCTCCGATACCCTCTGCTTGGAGGTTCATGGGTAGTTATAAGTAGGGAGTTATAAGTATAGTAACCATATTAGGGGATTTGTAACCCCACTTATAACTACCCCTGAACCTCCAAGTGCTCCCATCTCCATGCAATCCTTTCGCACGTTGCTGATGTCATCGACCCTGGTCTGGCAGGTGTAGGACTCCATCGAGAAGGGGATGCAGACGGATTCTGGCTTGCTTTCCTGGCTGCTTTCGCATGCAAGCTGAGCTTCCAGTATCACACAAGTGCAGTCAATTGGTTCATTGGAGCCGCCCTGCCCTGATACAACCTGATACTCTACACTACTGCTCAAGCACACGCACAACGTTCCTTCAGGCTCGCATGGCCCAACGGCTACTCACTATTCCTTCCGAATCAAGAGCTCCTTGCGCAGACCCCGCTCACAAGTCAGGCGCGCCGGCAGTGTGGGCGTGGCTGCCCGCAGCGCCCGTTGTGCCGCCGCACGGCGAGCCGTGGCCTCCGCATGGTTTGGGCAAAGCCTCAGCAATCAAGGGCCGCGGCTCTGTGTTGGCTGGTATGTATCCTCCAGCGCGTCAGTGTTTAAGACTCTTGATCTCTCTTGCCGTGGCAAATCTGATTTTGGACTTTCGACACGACTTTTTAGGAGCAGAGCAAATGAATTCAAAAAGGCGCACCACGACGTTCGTAGAGAAGGCTTCCGAGTTTGCTGCTGGGGGGGGTTGGATCTCGGACTTCAGGCCAGGCTAGCGTGAAATCTGGGAGTGCCCCCCGGGCTTTTCTTGCGGACGACCCGCATCCATCCCCTGGTGTCGGAGCTGACTACGAGAGCATGAACAGCCCAGAACTTGAAACTAAATGCCCATGCCCGGAGGCGTGAGGCAGCGCTCGAAGCAGTCGACGGCATCAGCGAAGCAGCACATGCGGCAAAGGGCCAGCCCCGAAGTGTAGTGCATCTCTGCCAGCTCGGAATCCTGGGTCTCAGGCGCAGAGGTGCACATCACATCACGTCACGTCGCTCTGAGGACGGATCGGCGAAGCCCGCTGCGGCTGCGGCCGCTCGCTTCAGCGCCGCCTCGCAGCGCCGCAGCGCTTCGGCAGCGTCCCCTCGGGGGCAAAGCGCCTGTGCCTCCGCGGTGAGGCGGCCTCGGAGTGACTCGCGGTGGCTCGCGGTGACTCGGATCTCGGCCGCGACCCGTCGCGACGAGTCTGGCAATGCTTGCCAGCGGCGGATGTCCATGAGCTCGCGCGCTCTCTGAAGGCGCCACTCTGCCTTCTGCACCAGGGAGCCTCAGGCTGATGCTTGAGCCACGGAGCAAAGCGAGGACACTCTCTGCCACTCTCACCGCAGCTCAGGACCAGGCGAACATCTTCTTGCGGCAGCTCTGCCAGCATCACCAAAGCTGCCTGTCAGAGCTTGCCCGATCAACGGCCTTACTTGGAAGGCCACAGTGACTCAATCCGACGGCAAGCATGGGCTGCACACACTTCCAGCGAAAGACTCCGCGAAGCCGAAAGCCCTGAAATCGACGTGGCCGTCCCTACACCGTCACTGATACGCAACCGGCTCAATGCAATCGATCGAATGGCAACAGCACCGGCACCAGCACAACCACCCTGACGATTGCTACTGTGCTTACTGCCTGTTGCTGCTGTTTGTTCTCATTGCCGCAGCCTCGGCATCCTCAGCGCAGCTCGAGGCAGCATCGGCACCGGGACAGCGGAGGTGTGCCGTGGCCCGGTTGCACAGCAGCGTGGCGTGCTTGAGAGCCTGATTCAAACATCGTCGGGCCTGGTTTTTGATTAAAAGCCTGTCGCACGAGCTTTCCTGCGACTTGGGCGTCTGGGGGATTGGGCGTTTGCACATGACTGCGCCGAGTTGAATGAAGTCTTTGGGGCATGTCTGGCGAAGACGGCCTCGGTGTTGGCCAACTCCGTAAAGGCCAGCGTATACGCCTCGCCACCGCGGCGACCGACTAAAATGGTACCCGAACAGGCAACAGGCTCACTGACTCACGAGCTACTCTCTCTATGTGTAACTTGTGGGAACTCCCTTACCCACTTGCACTTACCTGCTCTCTTGTCTGCGCGTCGCCACCCTCACTTCCTCCCGCACCCGAAGGCCTGCACGGCTTCCTGGAAGAGCCCAGACTTGTAGAGGGCGTTGCCCTGGCAGTGCGACTGACCCGATCCGTCGCAACCTCACGTCCGAGCCCCGACTAAATCAGGCCAACCTCAGAAGTCACGGAAGTCAAAGCAAGAAGTCTGCAGTCTGCAGGCCTCCTCCATGAGATCTCAATGCACAACCTGCGAAAGCTACTGGTAGCAAGACAGGCAGTCCAATAGGTGGCGAGAACTTTAAGCACCCGCGCACGTCCAGCTCTCAACATGACCCCCATCTGCAACCGACTGCATCTGCTGCGACCCCCCGGAAAAATTGGCGGGCAGCTGCAGTGAGCCTCAGCCGTCATCGTCGTTATCATCCTCACAGATCAGGAAGTGGCGGTCGAGGAGAACCGGTCCCAGCATGGACCTGGTCTTGCGTATTGAAGTGCCCGAGCCGATCCGGCAAGGGAGGGTCAGCCCTTGACATGCCCCGTCAACTTTCGCTTGTGCAGCCATGGTGCAGGACAAGCCTATCCAGGTGAACAAAGATCTCATTATCGCTCATCGCCATGGCTGTAGAGACGAGGGGAGAACGGGAAGAACTGGACTAGTCTGCTCCTGCTTGAGCTTCAACGTCGGCAACGCAAGCGGCTCATGGCTTCATGTAATCTAGTCATGCCATGCACCATGCAGCTTCAGCGATCGCCTTACCGTCAGGCTAGCCCGACGAAAGAACATCCCATGCTGTCGCAAGACGATGCCGCTCCTAAAGCTGCCTCAGACACACAACCTGCCCATGCGTGGGCGAGCGCAGTCGTTTTCGCATCTCTCACCGGGGCACGGCGTAGGAGGTGTATCTTTCGAGGCCTGAGTCAGGGGCAAAGGAGCATGCTGCAGTGGCGGGGCTCTGCATCTTCACTCTGCCGTAGGTCCGAATCCACCCTTCAACCCTCAGCCTGAACTTCACAGCCATAGGCCATGATGCCACACCCCAAATGCCGTGCCCGAAATCCCCCTAGCCCCCTTCCAGTCTAAACCTGCATCTCCGAACCCTGAGCTCTAATCCTAGGCTTGACGAAAACCCCGAACGAAAACCCCGAAGCTTCCTGAGACCCAGCTCCTTCAAGGTGCCTGTTAGCAGCACATGATGCGATTCACCCTTGATTACATGCAGCCGGAATGTCATCAACAAGAGCCGACTATCGCAGCAGCTTGTCTTTGAGGGCATACTAGTAGCAGCAAAGACATCGGTATGTGCACATTGGCACTCTATTGTTGACGGCACTTTGCACTTCGCGGGCATGCTGCCAAAGTCTTCCTTGTCTCCTCCTCCTCCGGCCCCTACCTAGGCCCCTAAGCCCGCGGCCTCCTGGCTGATCGCCACCTGCTTCCAGGGCGGCCGCGGTGAAGTCGCGGAAGTCCAAGCGTCCTGAAAGGCGAGTTGCCAAAGGATCCGCAGAGGCAGGGGTTGCACAGGACAGTTCATGTCTGGAGGACAGGACCATGACAGTTCTGTGTTGCAGAAGCAGGTGCAAATCCTGATGTGAAAACGGTTTAGCAGAGTCGCGGTAAGGGGTGCGGCTCTGAACTCGCCCACTGGTTAGTTACATATGAGACTCCAGATTTGTCTTCCCTATGCTCGAGCACTGTGGTCCTGTGGTCGGCTTGCGCTCATCTTCGTTGAAATTCGCGGCGATGTTGGTCTGAATCGCTGCGAGCACGGCAGGGTCATAGTCCTGCAAGCTCCGTAACTCTGTCACGTCATGTCGTACGTACACAACTGCAGGGATGGCAACTGAAACTCGCATGCAGGTTTCCGTCCGTCATCAACACATGTGCTTCCGGAAGTAACTTCCTGAGCTTTCCAAGCATCACTTCAAGCACATGCGGAGGGACCTTGCCCAAGATCACCTTGCATGTTGCCTCTCATGGGCCCTCCCATAGTCTTCAGAAGAGACTCTGGGCGGTTAGGCCCAGAAGGCCAAGCCCCGCACCCACTTCGAGCACCTTGAGGCCTTGGAGTCCCCGGGTCAACTCGTCACCGCCGTCTGCTCTAGACGTCTCTTCTTCAATCACGGGCATCGGATTCCCCAACCTGGCCTGCTCCCGCGGCTTGCGGCAACTTCCTGAACAAGGGAAAGGTTCAACGATGCGTGCCAACCTCATAACACACGATCTCAATGGTGACCACTTCGAGTCACGGCTTACAACCATAATGTTGCGGAGTGGAGGTAGGATCTCTGAGCCTTTCATGGGAACAAAGCTACGCTGAATCTTACTCAAGATCTCTCAAACCACACAGGATACTTGAGTTCCTGTCAACTTCTATGGCGCCTCCGATGCTCCGCGAGCCAGGAGGCTTGCAGAAGCGAAGCATCCCAGAGACGCCCCCCGATGGACTCCAACACCTCCGTCAGCTGAGGCGGTTGGCTACTTAAGTTGCAAGATCCTTTGAGTTACTACAGTTTAAGAATAACAGTCATACAACTGATTGGTAGCCCCAATCATGATGGCATCCACTCAACGAGCTCCCAAACACCGCTGCTCGCGACGGGCACCTTGTGCAGGACGAGGTGCACCTCCCCGACGGTGGCAGGATCCTCCTGAAAGCGACATAGGAAAGGCATACTATCATGTACTACTAAAATAGCGTAGGCTATAAACAGGGAAAGGTATAAAATCATATATCTACTAGAATGCGGTAGACTCCAATAGAAAGTAGAATATGATATCTAGATAGGTAGAAAGAGACAGAGAAAAAACATAATATCAATATTACATATCCCTGAACCCGGAACAAAGATGTGGGCACAGTGGGGTACCCCATACATACATACATAAATACATACATATAATATAATATAATAATATATATATATATATATATATATACATATAGGAGAAAGGTGTATGTGTGTGTGTATATATATATATATTTCTATATGTAGTGCTGTAGTGCAGGTTCTTTTGGAGCAGCTCCTCCGGCTCCTCTGAAAGCTCATCGTCGTGACCGATGGGGTCCTGCCGCACCAGCGGGTCAGAACGCTTCCAGCACCCTCCGATACCCTCTGCTTGGAGGTTCATGGGTAGTTATAAGTAGGGAGTTATAAGTATAGTAACCATATTAGAAGACTTGTAACCCTACTTATAACTACCCCTGAACCTCCAAGTGCTCCCATCTCCATGCAATCCTTTCGCACGTTGCTGATGTCATCGACCCTGGTCTGGTAGGACTCCATCGAGAAGAGGATGCAGACGGATTCTGGCTTGCTTTCCTGGCTGCTTTCGCATGCAAGCTGAGCTTCCAGTACCACACAAGTGCAGTAAATTGGTTCATTGAAACAGCCCTGCCCTGAAACAACCTGATACTCTACACTACTGCTCAAGCACATGCACGACGTTCCTTCAGGCTCGCATGGCCCAACGGCTACACACTATTCCTTCCGAGTCAAGAGCTCCTTGAGCAGACCCCGCTCACAAGTCAGGCGCGCCGGCAGTGTGGGCGTGGCTGCCCGCAGCGCCCGTTGTGCCGAAGCACGGCGAGCCGCGGCCTCCGCATGGTTTGGGCAAAGCCTCAGCAATCAAGGGCCGCGGCTCTGTGTTGGCTGGTATGTATCCTCCAGCGCGTCAGTGTTTAAGATTCTTGATCTCTCTTGCCGTGGCAAATCTGATTTCTGCAAAAAACCTTCGACGAAATTGGACCTTCGACACGATTTCTTCGGAGCAGACAGAGCAAATGACTTCAAAAAGGCGCACCACGACGTTCGTAGAGAAGGCTTCCGAGTTTGCTGTCGGGGGGGGGTTGGATCTCGGACTTCAGGCCAGGCTAGCGTGAAATCTGGGAGTGCCCCCCAGGATTTTCTTGCGGACGACCCGCATCCATCCCCTGGTGTCGGAGCTGACTACGAGAGCATGAACAACCCAGAACTTGAAACTAAATGCCCATGCCCGGAGGCGTGAGGCAGCGCTCGAAGCAGTCGACGGCATCAGCGAAGCAGCACATGCGGCAAAGGGCCAGCCCCGAAGTGTAGTGCATCTCTGCCAGCTCGGAATCCTGGGTCTCAGGCGCAGAGGTGCACATCACATCACGTCACGTCGCTCTGAGGACGGATCGGCGAAGCCCGCTGCGGCTGCGGCCGCTCGCTTCAGCGCCGCCTCGCAGCGCCGCAGCGCTTCGGCAGCGTCCCCTCGGGGGCAAAGCGCCTGTGCCTCCGCGTGGAGGCGGCCTCGGAGTGACTCGCGGTGGCTCGCGGTGACTCGGATCTCGGCCACGACCCGTCGCGACGAGTCTGGCAATGCTTGCCAGCGGCGGATGTCCATGAGCTCGCGCGCTCTCTGAAGGCGCCACTCTGCCTTCTGCACCAGGGAGCCTCAGGCTGATGCTTGAGCCACGGAGCAAAGCGAGGACACTCTCTGCCACTCTCCCCGCAGCTCAGGACCAGGCGAACGTCTTCTTGCGGCAGCTCTGCCAGCATCACCAAAGCTGCCTGTCAGAGCTTGCCCTCTCAACGGCCTTACTTGGAAGGCCACAGTGACTCAATCCGACGGCAAGCATGCGCTGCACACACTTCCAGCGAAAGACTCCGCGAAGCCGAAAGGCCTGAAATCGACGTGGCCGTCCCTACACCGTCACGATAAGCAATGATACGCAACCGGCTCAATGCAATCGATCGAATGGCAACAGCACCGGCACCAGCACAACCACCCTGACGATTGCTACTGTGCTTACTGCCTGTTGCTGCTGTTTGTTCTCATTGCCGCAGCCTCGGCATCCTCAGCGCAGCTCGAGGCAGCATCGGCACCGGGACAGCGGAGGTGTGCCGTGGCCCGGTTGCACAGCAGCGTGGCGTGCTTGAGAGCCTGATTCAAACATCGTCGGGCCCGGTTTTTGATTGAAAGCCTGTCGCACGAGCTTTCCGGCGACTTGGGCGTCTGGGGGATTGGGCGTTTGCACATGACTGCGCCGAGTTGAATGAAGTCTTTGGGGCATGGCTGGCTTCGAACTGGCCGAAGACGGCCTCGGTGTTGGCCAACTCCGTAAAGGCCAGCGTATACGCCTCGCCACCGCGCAGACCGACTAAAATGGTACCCGAACAGGCAACAGGCTCACTGACTCACGATCTACTCTCTCTATATGTAACTTGTGGGAACTCCCTTACCCACTTGCACTTACCTGCTTTCTTGTCTGCGCGTCGCCACCCTCACTTCCTCCCGCACCCGAAGGCCTGCACGGCTTCCTGGAAGAGCCCAGACTTGTAGAGGGCGTTGCCCTGGCAGTGCGACTGACCCGATCCGTCGCAACCTCACGCCCGAGCCCCAGTCTGCAGGCCTCCTCCATGAGATCTCAATGCACAACCTGCGAAAGCTACTGGTAGCAAGACAGGCAGTCCAATAGGTGGCGAGAACTTTAAGCACCCGCGCACGTCCAGCTCTCAACATGACCCCCATCTGCAACCGACTGCATCTGCTGCGACCCCCCGGAAAGATTGGCGGGCAGCTGCAGTGAGCCTCAGCCGTCATCGTCGTTATCATCCTCACAGATCAGGAAGTGGCGGTCGAGGAGAACCGGTCCCAGCATGGACCTGGTCTTGCGTATTGTTTCGCAGCGAAGATGCCGTGCGCGAGCCGATCCGGCAAGGGAGGGTCAGCCCTTGACATGCCCCGTCAACTTTCGCTTGTGCAGCCATGGTGCAGGACAAGCCTATCCAGATGAACAAAGATCTCATTATCGCTCATCGCCATGGCTGTAGAGACGAGGGGAGAACGGGAAGAACTGGACTAGTTTGCTCCTGCTTGAGCTTCAACGTCGGCAACGCAAGCGGCTCATGGCTTCATGTAAGCTAGTCATGCCACGCACCATGCAGCTTCAGCGATGGCCTTACCGTCAGGCTGGCCCGGCTGTGACGCCTCAACCTCAAGATGGCTCGACGAACCACAGGAATATGCCTGGCTCACGCAACCCCCAAACCTGCTCGCAGACGCTTTTTCGCAGCTTTCACTGGAGCACGACGTAGGAGGTGCATCCCTCGAGGCCTCAGCCAACAGCAAAAGGAGCCTTCTGTAGCGGCGGGGCGCTGCTCCGCTTCTTCAAGCCCTTACTGCTGTCACTCTGCAGCTCATCCGAATTCATCAGAGACGAGCGGTTCAGCAACTGCAAGCACCCCACTACACCTACAACCCGTCAAAACATTCATCCTGAAAGTTGTGGTAAATGTGTCAAAGAGCGAACGATCGGGATTGGTGCGATTGAAGTCCTTCGGCGCATGATGATGAACGTCAGTCTGCTCCTTCGAAGGATGTTGATGCTCTGCCTGGGCTGATCATCCTGTATGACTGCCGCTGCCGCGACTGGGACGACCGAAGGAGCTCACAATCGTGATGAGTGTAAACACGATGGCACGGCATCTTTCTCCGAGGTTCCCGGGCCTTCAGTAGCACCCAAGGCCGTAAACCCCACAATCCAAACCTTCCTTTCTCGGCCCCAGGCCGTCCGCCGCCGCCTCGGGGCCTCTCACCAGCAGCCGGCGCAGGTCTTTGGCCAGGCTTTTCACCTTTATCTAAGAATTTATATCATGAGGAGCGCAGGGTGTGGGATGTAGGGCACGGGATCTGCCAGGGGGTGTGGGCATGTGATTGTCGGATTGCAAATGCTGAATGGGAACAGTTGAACAGAAGCCAGGATGCTGGCGAGACAGCCGTCTTGAAAGTTGCCAAACCGTACAACCGAGGCTTAATTTCAATGTTCATGTCGCTACCGATAGGAAGATGACGACTGCTACAACTCTACTCCTTCTGCCGCTGCTCCTTCTCTCGCTGCTGCTACTGCTATGACATTCATCTTCATCCTTTTCATCAGCAGTGAGCTCGGCAGTATAATCAGCATAATCATCATCAGTCCACATCCGAGTCCTCCTCCTCCCACCCGTTAATGCCATCGTCGCCATCACCATTACGATCACCACCATCGTGGGAATCAACATCACCATCATCCACCGTCCATCACCCTGTGTACCCTGCATCTTCATCTGGAGAGTCATCTTCTAAGTCGAAAATCTCAACATTGCAACATGACCTCCACCTCACCACCACCCCCACCACCACCGTCGTCATCATCATCACCACCCATCATCAACATCGCGACAACACTACACCTCTTCACTTGATCATCGGCACCTTCTCTCATCGCCATCAGCATTGTCATCATCCACGTTCTTTCATTCAGGCAAGCATTCCTTCATTCCCTTGCCCTTGCTTGCCTCCAGTGCTCGCACATCCGACTCACTGCGGAGGGCTTTCAGCTCGCCTGGCCACTGCAGGCTTCGGGCCCCTACGAACTTTGGATCATGGGGCCCGAGCTCGAAATGCCGCACTTCCGCCTCGAAGCTTGCACATGCCCGACGTGTAATACGGCACTGCTCATCAAAAGCGCTTACGCCGCGACTCCACACACAAATGTCACAGTCTTAGCCTTTAAGCCCCTCCCCCTCCCGGGACCCCCTCCTTCAATGGACACGCGCTGCGTCCGCAGCATCTCCCGAAGCGTCATCACTGCCGCCTGGAGTCCAGAGTCCAAACCATCGATGTCACTAGTCGGCAAGCAGCATTCCGAAATGTGATTTGCATCCAAGAAGCTGCCGGAAAACCTTTACTCAAGAAGCGCCCGCCACGTCTCATGCTTGGAAACCAACACACATTACGAAGAAACCATCTTTCAAGTCTCGACGATTTCGCAGACTTCACGTTCATTGCCAGCAGGCTGCAATCACGCAAAAGCTCATTCGACACCAGGGATTCGGACCATTCGAAAGGGTCGAGAGGATGGAATCCTAATCATGTCACACGGGTCGAAGATGTTACACGATGAGCAACTTCGAGAGAAACAACCGGCGTGACTTCGTGGGAAATCGCGGGCATCCTACAAATGGCTGGCTGGAAAGATGCGACGGGTTCTAAAGTTCACTGCTTGTAGAAGCTCACATCTTTGAGACATCGATGCGTGCCCGCCTCGACGTCCACTTTCAGCTCGTCCCAAAGCGAGACATCAAGCTTTCCATCCAGCTTGGAGTCAACGAGGCCTGGGATGTGCGGCGTCATGGCCATCTAGCAGCAAGTCTGCAAGCGTGTTCGGCTCTATCTTTGAGGCGAGATGCGACTCACCTCCACGGTGAAGCAGGAACACTTCTCGTTCCAGCGGCCCTCCATTTTGGAGAGCTTCTGCTTCAGGTCCGCTTCCTCGGGGCAGCAAGCACATCTGTAATCATGTTTCGCAGAGGCTGGAGCTCACAAGAGCACCAAACCGCTCGCTCGAAGGCAACCAGAACGAAGAAGCCATCTCCAAGAATTCAATTCCACTAAGCCGACTGATGAAAACATGCAGCTCCTAAAGCAGCGTCAGCAATGATGTGTTCTCGCTCAGAGCGGAGGCTGATCCAAGACCCCTCCACATGTTCCGGGTGAGGTGCCATAGTAGTGCACCGGTCTTGGACATCTCCCTCCAGCCTCGCAAACCTCGGGACGGGCTGCGACAAAGCATGCCAACGATGTGGGGCGATGGACAGTGCCAGCAATGATGACCGAGATGGGAAGAATGTCACGATGCCTGCGGAGGTCCTCACTATGGCTACCGGGCAAGGCAAACGCCGAGATGAACTGGCTAACACAAGACGAAGCGATGCTGAAAATGAGTGAAAAAGTGGCAGCCTTTGGAAAGCAAGTGCGAACAAGACGCCAGGCTGGCATGCTTTGCATGGCCTGCCTCAGTCCAGGACCAGGTCATACTACATGAGCAAACACCGTATAGAGCTCATACAAGCTACGACATACCACGGAACTCATGACATGCAGCATACCTTTACGCACACTATGACAATGATGTATGTATGTATGTAAATACGTAAGAATGTATGTATGTTGAGACCATCTGCTGTCAAGGTGCAGTTTGCCTGCGGCCTCTTTCAGCCACGAGTCCTGCTTGGCCCGGAGATCCTGCACAGCCACGCGCCTACCCTTCGAATAGAGAAAAGGGGACCCTTTCATGTGGGAGCCTGCATCAGTTCCCCAAGCAACTCTCCGAAAAGGATGGAGTCTGGGCTCCCGGCGATCTGGAGACCCTTCAGGTCCGCACGGATCGCCGGGATTTCAGTACCTCAGCCAAATTTCGCCCAGCCACCACCGACAATTTGGCGGCTGAGGCTTTAGGAAAAGGCCCAGGCTTGGCAGCGCTTGGTTTGAGCCCTAAATGTTCGGCCCAAAGCCAAATCTCTGACTCAAAGCACACAGGTTCAGGCTGAATCTCTCGACGAGCGACCGAGGGAGTAGCCCATTGCATTTTCCATACCTGGAGGACTAAATACCAGCGGCTAGCGCATGCTACTCTCTGATGCAGGGCTTACAGCTTTTTGCCTGGGGCTTGGTGCTCAAGATATGTAGGCCTCACGAAGCAGAATCAGTATCAACCCGAAAACGAAGCGCCTACGGGTTGAAGGTTGTAGTCTTGTTTGAAGGGCTCTTTTCCGCCATAGGCGTTTTGGTACAGCGGTGTTGCCATGGGCAAACAAGCAATGGCAGACTCATGGCAAGTTTTTGCACACTTTAAAGATAGAACGGATAAGTAGTAAGTAGCAAGTGACCAGCATTGTCGGTCGGCAATTCCACTGGAACGAAACCTCAACTCCTAGCTACTTGGGACTGGCAGGTAAGCCCGGTCAAGCCGACTGAATGCCGCTGACATGAGATACCGATATAGCCAAGCTGAAGAAGATACGGAGACAAGTTATAAGCCTGAGTTATGCGTTTAGCAATTGGCGACTGTGATGAGGCACTATTCACGGACTCTTCAGAAAAACGAAATGGACACAATTCGAGCAGAAGAACTGATGTCTCCGCCTCTGAGCCGCGGATTAGGGAAGCAGAGTTGCGCATCTGCTTGTCGAGCAAGCTTAAGCGCGTGGAGTCCATGTGCCCGGTGATGTCTTTCACCTGGTGCCTTCGCCACCAAGATTTTTTGGTCACACCCTGTCTCGCCCATTCTTCGCGTCACACCTCTTCTGAACACTTCGCACCTCTTCGCATCCCCCATTCCAATCAAGCAGCTCCATCGACTCAGTCTTGCTCTTCATCACGTCCACAGAGCCTGAGGGCCATTGCTTAAAACCGCAACACTTCTGTCGATCCCACACGTGACTCTTGCGGGGTGCAGCCGTGGGGCACTGCATGGAGGAAACGACCTCCCACATGTCTTGCAGCTGATCGCCCCTCGGCGCACGGGTCGGCAAGGTCAAGGAAGAGACGCAGGCGCCGAGGCATCAAGTCATCACCAAGTTACAAGGGCAAAGCTCTGCGCAACCTCAGCAGGACCACTGACTTTCAAGTGAGACAAAGCATGACCGAGCTGTCGGCATCGAGTCTGTCGCAGAATATCCGCCACGCACAAGAAACACAACCCGACCGAAGAGCCTCCGAGCGCCTGACCTACATACAGCCTTTCACCCAAGTGGCGCGGAAACCTCGCCGTGTAGGTGGCGCAGGTACTTCATCACGCTCCGCGGTTCAACCAGCCCTTGGAGGAGCCAACGAAAGAAAGCATCAGCAGATTGGCATCAGAACTGCTAGACTGTCTTGAAAGGTGCCAGCCTCATGACAGCATGCAGTCGAACGGCTGCTGTGATTGCTTATCTTACGCGTGCATATTATCTGCAGGCTTGGCTGGATGGATAGTCAGCACAGATCAGGGCTGAGGTTGGTCTGTCTATTGATGCCAGGCACAGTCCCCACTGCCAGCATCGCGCGCTTCAGTCAAGAAGCCTACCTGCAAAGGGAGGGAGGCCGGCGCTCCGGACGAAGGGAGGCGGGGTGCCCCCTATCTTCGAACAAGAGCTACGCTCGGGCTTATCTCCAACTGCCCAGGCTCCACGATGAGGCTTCAGCATGGGATTAGAGCCCCCGGGCTTCGTTAACGATCCTTTGGAATTTTGGGAACCCTCGACCCTTCAGGGCCTCCTTCAGCGGGGCCTTGTCTGCAGCTGGGTCCAGGCGGGGCAGGAACTTGGAGGCCTGCTGCACCCCAGCAATCGGACACAGGGAACATAGGCTCAGGGGTCGGGGATCTCATGTTTATGTAGGTCGGTACGAGTATGTGGGGTTGTCAGGGAGGGTGAGCAGGCAGGTAGGCATGGCATACACATCTCATGTACCAGACACACCTTGTAAAAAAACCCACAAGACGCAGACTGCCACCTGGAAACTCCCTGCCTCAGGAGCACTCTCGAAAAGGGCGAGGCGGCGCTCCACTTCGTCCAGTCTTCGGCTCAAGGCGTCCATGGCCCCGGCTTAAATCCCGCTTAAATCCGAAGATGAAACACACCACCATGGACTGGGTACTGGGGGGGGGGCCTGATTTGTACAGGGCTCGCATTCCTCTAAAACTAAGTTTCGAACCTCTTGGGGGGGCGGCTGACTTGATTCACACAGCCAGGGACTGAAAGACGAGATCAGCAATACTATGGTGTGTATACTATACATAGACAAATATGGAGCTAAGCAGCAGCAACAGCAGCAGCAGGAGCAGGAGCAGGAGCAGGAGCAGGAGGAGGAGCAGGAGAAGTCGCAGTAGCAGTAGCAGTAGTAGTAGTAGTGGTAGTGGTAGTGGTAGTCGTAGCAGTAGCAGTAGCGGTAGTGGTAGTAATACTGGTCGTAGTAGTGGTAGTGCTAGTGCTAGTGGTAGGGTAGTGGTGGTAGGAGTAAGAGTAGTAGTCGCAGTCGCGGTCGTAGTGGCAGTGGTAGTGGCACTGGTAGTGGTAGTGTTAATTGGCAGTGGCTGTGGCGCTCAAAGTGCTAGTCGTCGTCATAGTGGTGGTAGTAGTAGTAGTAGTAGTAGTAGTAGCAGCAGCAGCAGAAGAAAGCAGTAGCAAGTGCGGAAGCAGAAGTAGAAGTAGTGGTGGTGGCGGTGGCGAAGCCCAGAACATGGTGTGATGATGACGAGGATGACGATGATCATGATGATTACGATGATGATGATGATGATCCTGATGATAGCTAGAGAGGTCTCACGCATGGTATGTTCTGTGTTTCTTGCTTAACTACATGCGTGTGAAACGGTTGAGCTTCTATAATGATATGATACTTGCATAGCTCCATGCCGCACAATGGATCATACGGCAACCATGTCGCCTTTAGCCTTGAATGCAAGCCCTGAGATCATCCGCCACAGAAAATGGGCTGTGCAACCTGCACATCGGGACTGCACGGCGAAAATTGACTCTGCTGCAGAGACCGTCCTCTTTGCAGAATCTCTTTCTCTCGGACCTTGTCTCCAAGAGATGAAAAGGTTGAGCATGACCCATATGCCGAGCAGGTGAACCTGTGTACATCTTGATGTTATGACGACACGGCTTAATTCAGCTAAGACCTCCCCATGCAATAAGAAGTGCTAGTGCTGCTAGTGCAGCGCATGTGCTTAAAGCTTCATGCAACGAGCGCATCTGCCCTCATCCTTGAATTCCCACATAAAGCAGGCCCAGCGCGAAAATCACCGCGGAGACAACTCGGTAGTCCCAACCTTGACAGGAAACGGAAAACCAGCTTCATGGCTCTGAACCGTCGACCCAACCAAACAAAAGGCTGCGGCCAAAGTCCACGCGGCCGCTGGGGGCTTCCTTCGGCACCTCGTGTGGCCCCACCCATCCCGAACCCCCTTAACGAGTACTGAGAACACATTCTCAAGAATGAAAGTTACTGATGCTGGAGTTCTTGATGCTGATGCAAGGGCAGCAGTGCTGTTGACTTTACCGTGACTGCGACAATGATGAGGAGGCTGGTGATGGCAATGGTTGGCGTGAGATGGCTGGGGCGATGCTGGACGTCATGCCGCATGCCAATCAATCATGGCATCTTCACTTCCGTCATCTTTCAACAGGTGTCGTGGCCCGGGGCCCGGGCCCCTCCGGTGGCCTCCATCAGCCAGTCCGGCAGATCGCCTGCCGTGAAGCTGAGCTGAGCAGGACCCACCTTTTATTTGAAGCCGTACCTTCAGCTGCCTCCGGCGGACCCTTGGCTTGGAACTCTGACCAACGTGTCGTGCGTCATGCGGCGACGTGCATCCGATTGCGGCAGAGGCACGCCCCGCTCGGGCAGCTCAGAGGCAGATCGTGCAACTGAAGGCCTGCACTATGTCACTGTGTGTGTGTGTGTGTAAGACATGGATGACACCTTGACCTGGGCACCTCGCACCCTGCCGCCTGCGCCATGCTGCCGGTCCTCCGAGGAAGCTTGGCCAAGACGAGACCTAACCAACGCACGTCTTCTCCCCGACACCACAAGTCCAGGTGCTGGGAACATCTCAGAGCTCAACGCAAAGCACCGTCAGAAGGAAGAAGCCCACCTCGACATGGCTATGATGTTCTGCAGTCGGCTTGAGTTTGAAACGCATGCCGCATGTCGACCAATGACTTAGGCGCATCTACTTGGAAGCAACCGTGGCACAGTTCTGGAGTTCAGTTCCAAAATCGATGCACGTTTCAGCAGAGTTTGGACAGTTTGCGCTGGAAGCGCAGGAGCCGGTGGGCCAGCTCTCAGTCATGCACTGCAGCTGCACCAACAAAAAGACAAAAGCACGAGCCATGTAAGCACAACCGCCAAACTGCAGGCGTTGGATTCACGCCGTGCGACGGTGGTCGCTTCTGGGCGCAAGACTCGGCAGCGCGGCTGCGTCATGCTTGGCACGCACCGGGCAGGCAGGCGAAGTAGCTGCACAGGTCAAGGATGATTGCTTCGTGATCACACCTACTTTCGGTGATTCATCCTTGCTCTTCGTGCATGACCTTTCTGAGCCAAGAAGCTGAAGCAGAACACACGGCAAGCAGAATCTGCAACGCTCACTGGTGGCGTACGAGTTTCTTCCGTCAGTCTCCTCGAGCTAAGCCCTCGTGCGCAGTGCTCATGTACTGAACCCCATTCAAGTCGTAACCGAACACTCAGCAAGGAGTTGAAAGCTTAGTGTGATCAGGCTCCGCAAGAAGCAAGCACCGGAGGCAACGGTCCCGAGACTTCGGAGTTTGCGGCACTGTCGAACCCTGGCGGTGTCAGCAAGCAAGAAGACTTCCGACAATGTCCATGGGCGAGCCGCTTTCTTTATCGTGTTTTGATGATCAGCGCGATTGAAAGCACCGTTTGTAAGACCGCTATGACTACATGACTTCTTCTGTCACCTATCACCGTATAACTCCTGAATACATCAGCATAGCTAGTGAAGCTGTTATAATTAGTGTTGTTTTTCATCTTCTGGCGGCTGCTGCTACTGCTGCTGCTGTTGCTGTTGCTGTCGCGTTTGCTGTTGTCGGTGCCGGTGCCAGTGCCGGTGCTGGTGCTGCTGCTGCTGCTGCTGGTGCTGCTGATGGTGGTGTTGGTGCTGCTGGCGCTGGTTCTGGCTCTGGTGCTGCTGGTGCCGGTGGTGCTGGTGGTGATGATGGTGGTGGTGCTGCTGGTGCTGCTGATGCTGCTGATGCTGATGATGCTGGTGAAGCTGGCGATGACGGCGATGATGATAAGGATGATGATGATGACATGTGATGACCATGATCAGCATTTCAACTACTTTCGTTTCGTGACCATCGAGCGTCAAACTCTCTCAGGGGGAGCGAGGGGGAGGGGGTCAACAGGGGAAAGAAGGGGTGCAACCCTCCCACCCACGTTCCTTGTCACGTTGGGCGGTTCAGGGACCTTTTCGGGATCTCCAATCTTCCAGCAAATCCTTCCGAAAGTCTGAACAGCAAGCCTCCGTCCCTTGCAGAAGCATCGCTGCCGATGCCAGGGCCAGAGGTCCGGAGTGCTCCATTTGGACCTTCGGGAGTTTTGGGTGCCCATCTGCTCTTCCCCGAAGCATCGCCCCCATTCCCAGCCATGCCTTGTCCAAATGAGCGGAGACCACCTGCAAGCGACAGGTGCTAGAGATAATCCACTAAAGTTGAAGCCGGATTAAGGCCAAAAAGTGCTGGGATTCCCCATACAATACTCTTAAGGGTTGAGGCTGGGGGGTTTCCAACTTTTGAGCTTCTACTGTAAGAGGGTTTCGTGCAAATCAATGCCCCATTTCGAATCAGGATCTGCTCAAAGTCTGCCGGATCACCATGTGATACATGCTTGGTCATCCCCCCGAAACCGCCTTAGCCCCCATAGATCCGCAAACTTCGGATTCGCAGCCAGAAGCACTCCCTGTGCCCCCTTCGCCTCCAAGCGCTCTGACAAGGCGGTGTCGAGACTCTCGCGACTCAGACGCTCGGAGGCAACCTTTCGAGGGATCCGTTTCTCTCAAAGGAATGCCTGAAGAAATGTGGCGTCTCCGGCTTCGTTAGACAATCAGCAGACTTATACATGCCAGATCCATCTTCGGCTTCCGCGTTCCAAGCAAGAGATCCTTCTAGACAGGGAGTTCCACTAAGGAGAGCATCAGAGTTCGAGCTGCTGGGTGTGAATTCAAATTGCCGTGGAAGCAATTGAAGCTTGAATGCGTGTAGGCCTACGTCTAGTGCCGTCGGTCATAGACTCATAGACATTGAAAGTGCAGCTTAAGCCTATGAGGATTGAGGATTGTGGGTGTGCCCAAAACTCCAACTTTCCAGCCCATTGCTGGGGAAAGAATCGTTGTCGCCGCTAGCATCACGGATTTGCAATTCTCACCCGGATGGAGTTGCCCGTGCCATGGCTCCCCTCACACTCCTCAACATCGAAAGAAGAAGCCCGCTCTGCAAACCCAACCATCAACCCCTGAATAACCATCAACCCCTTAATAAAAGCGCCGCACACAGGGCTGCCTCATTTTGGAGCCTGTCGAGACGTCGTTCCAACGAAGAGAGATGATCCGCGACGGCCTGTGTTGACGGGCTGTCAATGTTGGCTTGCTGGTGCAGGAGTTTCAGCTGTGTAGGGTGAAGTTCATTCGTGTGGGGAGTTGCTAATGACAAATTGGGTGCCACTGCTGATGGGAATGTTGATGTTGGTGACGACAATCGTGTTGATGCTGCTTCATGCTCTTGCTCATGTGTTGTCACACTTTAAACTGCAGAAGCCTCTCACGAGAGACTGAGCTCAGGACCTGCTCAATCCTCGGACACAGAACGGCTTCTGCAACAGACCGAGGGATATCGAGACGACCGTTCCGGCATGTCACCGGATAGGAGAAGGAACAACAACGATGATGGTAGCAGCAGCAGCAGCAGCAGCAGCAACGTCAGCAGGTTCCGGTTGCGATTGAGGCTGCGATTGCGGATGCGGGTGCCGTTGCCGTTGGTTTGGCTGTAGTTCTTGCTGCTGTCGTTGTTGGCGTCGCCACCGTTGTCGTCGTCGTGGCAGAGGATGCAGCAGCTGGAGGAGCCGTAGTAGTCGTCATATCAGGAGCAGGAGAAGGAGCAGGAGCAGGACCAGTAGGAGTAGGAGGAGTAGGATGTAGCAGCAAAGGGCGACAACAAAAAGAGTCACAGTCACAATGACAATAGCGCTCGAAATCCCAACAACACCCTGACAATGATGGCAGCAGCAAGGATGCTAGCTTTCGATAGCAAAAACATCCTTGAGCTCTTGGCATCCTCCTCATCTCGTCGGGAGTCCCGAAAGTGCCTGACAAGATCATATGTTGTCAAATCCCTCGTAAGAGTCCCATTTTGTGACTACACAGAGCAGCAACAGCAACAAGGACAACGCCACTGCACTCATGGATTCAGGAAACCCTGCCTGTACCCTCGACAGAGAAGCCTCGGTCCTTCGAGAAGCTGAACTCTGCTCCCGGAGACCTTGGCACGTACAGCAGGGGGTCGCTGAGCCTGCGGGGCCTTGGCACCTGATGCCGAGCTCTACTGACTCCACTGTGACAGACTTGCTAAGACCCGTGGCCCATTGCAGGAATCGCGCTCCTCCTGGCTCCAGGACAGGCAGAGCAGCAGCATCCAACAAGAGAGGCCCTTCTTGAAACCATGATGTTGCGACTTTCATTCGTGCCTTACTTATGGAGTCCAAGAGATACACAAGACTGCCGCCTGCAACGTCATCTGCTCCCAGTGCTGGATAGCCTCTGGCACCGGCATCCGTCCTGGGGACGGAGGTCAGCATAGCTCAACACAGACTGGAAGATGTGCGGTGGCCGACCGCTCCTTCGCTTCCCATGGCTTTTGGCGCCTCCAGGTCAAGAACTCAAACACAACCCCGTGTGCAAGTCCGTGCAGGCCTGCGCCGCGAAATCAGAAGCCATGGGACACGACGGGCATGTATGCTACGGGTCCCCTCCTAGATTGCTAGTCGGAAGTTGAAAGTTCCTGCGCTCCTGTCCACAAAGCATCGCTTCTCTGCCACTTTTGCAAAGAGCATGCGGTTGCGACTCTGAGTCCCGTGTGCTCTTTGCTTGCTGCCTCCACTCATCTTCTGCTTGCACTGAAGAAAACACCAGTTGACATCGCGCCATGCTAGGTAATGACGGCTTGTGAGCTGCCGGGCGACACGGCGGGAGCACTGGATGCTTCTGTCATGTCATAAGCCATCCACAGAGCGAACCATGTCCAATCGCCGTAACCCTGTTCAGAGGTCGCATGTAGTAGCTTCATCTGCACCACAGTTCGAATAAGCAACCTTCACAGCTTGCTGAAAACCAGATGCCGTTGCTACCACATCTCCAAAACACGTCTGGCGATGTGGATCGGGATCGGTGGCACCTGCATCGCCTTGGTGAAGTTGCTGAGCTGCATCTCAAGTCTTTCGCAAAGCTTCCTGGGGCTGGGACTCCACTTTGCAGCTCGAGCTGCGTCTTTTGCGCCTGCAAGGGCTGGGGCTCAGGGCGATCCTTTCCTACCATTCTGTATGCCACCGTATTCTCTCTCCGTCAGTCCGTCAATCTTTTCATCAATGTCGACGGAGGAGTATTTTACAAGATTCAACACAGTGCATCGGACTACTCTTGATTGAGGTTGGGTTGGAGACTCACAAGGTCTGCCACCTCGGCATCTAGGTCTCCGGCTCAAGGCTAAACTTTCAGAATATGACGCCCTGGTGGCATCTGTGACAACCGGGTTTAGCTCCTGGGTCCTCTTTTGGGATTCAAAGGAAGCCAGCCTCGAGCTGTGCGAGTTCGCTGCGGCTCCTCTCCTGCACCGCTACGAAGGTTGGGGAGCAGGTCTGAAGGCAGCCGAGCCCAAGCCTCCACGCTGCGGAGATTCAGCGCGAGCTCGTGCTTCTGCCGCTCCTGGCGTGGTCGGCTGCACGACAACTCTGCACCTTTGCCTGCTTTATGCAAGGAGCAGTTGTGGCCTCGATGTCGCGCCTCTCCTCAAGCTCAGCAATCTGCTTCTGGTAGTCGGCTGTAAGCTGTTCCACCGACCTGCACACCGCACGGGATGTTGCACACGCATCTATACAGTATGCGCAGGTAGGATGTTGGTGTGTATGTTGTGTTTTGCACTTGCACTTGCCGTGTGATTACAGATGTCCAACACATACAACGCAGGCTCAACATGCGAACCGCGACGGAGGGCGAAAACCTCCGGCGGCCTTCGAGCCCCAACCTTTTTCGGGAAGCCTCGAAAGCCAAACAAAAAAAAGGGAAGCCAAGGGCGCCGCCTCTCGTGGTCGGAGGTACGGCCAGCAGAGTCCGAATGAAGCTGCTCCAACTGCACAGGGAAGCTCGGGGGTGTCTCGTTTCCCTTGTTGTCGTTGCCTTTCTCTGCTTGGCTTCGGGATCGCCGCGGCTCTAGAATCAGTCGATGTCCGAGGAACCGATTGCCGGGATACGCTCGGTGCTCGAATTGAGACGATGCATCTTCGGTGACCCTCAGTTCCAGGATCCAGATCCCTGCCATCGAGCTCTGGCGATTCGTGAGGTGATGTGCCGGCAATGTCTACGACTATGAAAAGGGGGTCACGAAGCGATTCGGCCTCACACCCCGTCCCGGCGGCGATTTCGTTGAAGCAGCGAACCATGTTCAACAACATCGGGAAAGGGAGCAGAGTTTGAAAACCACCACTAATTCCTTATCTCTTGGCTGGCACCTCCTGCTTCAGCGCATCGGCTTCGTGCGTGAGGGCTTCGAGGTCCCTGAGCAGATGAGATGATGGTGACGAACCCGAAGAGAGGTTTAACACTTTAAGCGCAACAGCTCCGCTCTCCTTTTCCGCGCCACAAAGCTGCAGTGGTTGCCAGCTCAAGGAAGCACTTTGGATCGTGCAGAAGGTCTACATTCCTAAACGACAGTTCACACGGCCGAAACTGTGCCATGTCATAACCAACGAAGCGTCTGCTTCCAACTCCAGCGTGTTTCCGGTCAGGTAGATGTGTACAGTGCTCTTATTTTCCCTGTCACAAGCATTGCCGGCTCTTCCTAAAACACCGCTGGACGCGCGCACATCACTCGCGCATGTTTCTGCTGCAAGTGACGGGGACATTAACTTGCAACAGGTGCTGATGCCTCACACGGCATCTCCTGCCTCGCAGCGACAGGGTGCACACAGATGAGATGCATGGGCTAAGGGAGCCATTTCCGCGATGTTTTCAGATGCATCAAAACATGCGTATGACTCTTGTGATACGTCATGTTAAACCTGAAGAATACCCCCAAACTTTTAAACCTGGTAATCATCATTAATACTTTAACTGTCCAACCCAAGATGTGCAATGACAGCGGGATAGCGGTGCGCACTTGAAACTGCGGGCCGGCCTTTAGACGCTCTCTGGCCTCGACCACTTCGAGGCCGACTGCAGACAGCTCCTGGGGGTGGCTGCGGGGTGGCTCGATAGCTCGGGCTCGGGCTTGGATTCAGGACATCTTCTTGCATATTATCCCAAAAAGTGGAAAGTGTATCCACTCAGTTATTAAGTTCTTACATATTCATAGAATCATCTGCACTGTCAGTTTCTTATGCCTGTACTTATTACTTCCTCATGGCTCCTCTCATGATGATTTTTGTTCGTGGTGGTGGTGGCAAGGCATTCTGGCTACCTTCGACTTGTACATCAAGAGCACATCAAGACTTGGTCTCCTGGCTTCTCCAAGGAAGGGTATCAAGCAAGCCTGTGTCCCATGTTGCCAACACCGCAACAAACGCAGGATGCCCATAGAAGTACTTTGTCACGGCCAGAGCCTGCCTGTCCTTTCATCTATGCGTGCAGCTTTTGGGGGCAAAGTGAATTTGCACAGATGGCGGTTGGCTCAACTGTGTCCGTGTTGAACATCTGGGGTTAACAGCCCTTTGCCGGGGACGGTACTGCAGTGCAGCCGCCTGCTGCCTCCGCCTGCAAAAAAGCGTGCTTCTCGGAGATTCGCAAAAGCTTACGAGTGCCTGTTACAGCTACTATCACGGGTTCTGTTTTCTGCAGCTGCAACGGCATCCTCGCTCCCTAGAAACTGTCGGGAATGGCCGGTAGCAGTTCGTTGAGAACCGTCGAAAGAAACTCGGGAACCAAGGACAACTTGCACAGCTGCTCCCATATGGTCATGGTCTCTGTTCTGGTCGGAAGTCGGAACTTACTTCCAAAAGGGCCACCCTCAAGACAGAGAAACTCCCGACAACAATCAAGATGATTCAGAATCAGGAGCCGAAAGCTTCACTAGCTGCGCCCGGTACTCCAGGCTTAGGCTCCGACAACGAGGGTGCATGAATCTTCTCTGTTCCCAACCTGCAGACTGACTCCCTTCCCCTTTCACGCCTTTCCGCGAAGCGCCGGTTCACCGGCGCACGGCGCAGCAGTGCCTGCTGTGCCTTCGAAGCACCTGCGCCGACTTGCCATTGCTCTAGGGAGTCGTTTCCTCGCTCCGTCATAAACTGTGTATTGAACAGTTGCAACAAGAGGTGGAAACTACTGCAACCTCCGGAAATCCAACATATCCAAGAAGAAGAGACACAAAGGCACAAAAAACAACAACAGGCAACGAACCAAATGCAACCCAACAAAGTCCGCATGGGGGCAGTACTGTGTTGCTACGGTGTTCACTGCCGCTTGTGCCCGGGTCATTCATGCAGCATTTGTTTTTGAACTTTGTCCTTGATCAAAATATCTTAGAGTCTTAGAGATTACACGGTTCCTTTTCTTAGCTGTATACCTGCTCAAAAGCAGCGGCAACTACCAAGGAAATGTCGCAGAGCTTAAGCCGGGCCTTCGACCACGAGCTGGGACCTGAGCAGCGTCAGTACAAGGTAGCTCGACAGCTAGAAAACAGGATGAAAACCAATCATGGTCTACCCAGTTTACCTTGCAGCCTTTCAAAGCCTTGTGGGCAGCCTGAAACCATCCGGCTTGCACTGCTGCTCGCAACTCAATGCTGTCTAGCCGCCGGCATGGTTCCGGCAACGCCTTCGGGTTCGCCATCTTGGTCTTGCCCCAGCAGAACTCGTCGAAGTTGGGGTCGTCCGTGGCACAAAGGCCTTCACAAGAACAAGCATGCTGCGTTGCATCGCCCGACTGCACTCGATGAAAGCGCCCGTGGTCTGGCCGCGACATGCCCCGCCCGCATGTCAGGCCTTCTCGCACACATAGCAACTTTAGCATGTCTCGGAACTCCTGGCAAACGCCTTGCCAGTAGTCCTTCCTCAGTTGTGCATCTGTCAAGAGCATACAACTTCGCAGCTCGAGCAGGTTCAGCTCGTTAAATCTTGAGGATTGGGCGAAACGCGGCCCCCGGCCGTCACTGCATCCATGCTTATCATACTTCCTCATCCCACCTGCATCCTGGAGTCTCCAAACCGCCCGGCTCCCAAATCCCAAGGATGCAGGTCGATGCGGAACCCAAACACTCTAAGCCTAAACCCGGAGGCCTGAAACTTCAAACCCTGGAGCCCTGCAGTGCCCTAAAGCCTCAAAGTCCCGAAGCATCACGGGGCTGAGGCACTGTTCCACTGCGAGTGCCGATGCCGGCCGGGGTGAAGTGCCCGCTGAATCCAGGGCCTTCAGAAGAAAGCAAAACGCATGAACACTACTAGAATAAGAGTCATACCGATATTCACGCTAAGCATGTCAATAATCAGAACAACAATGATCATTATGATACTCGAAAAGCGCATCGTGCGAGTGTCGAAGGGGCAAAGTGGCCTCCAGCAAGTCTGCATTGCACAGCTTGCCTCTGCACCGGATGCATGCAGCAATGTAGCTGAAACATGCCAGGCTGGTCGAGATAGGGAGTCAGATGTCCCGAGGTCTCTAACATGCAGAAGAGCCTACGGCCTAGGAGGCTTACTACCAGTGCCTTGTTGCGTGCAGCCGGGCGCCAGCAGGGCTCGCAGGTGGTCCCGCGCCCCGCGCAGGGACCAGCTCGGGTGCTCCTGGACACGAGACGCCACCGACTGCGCGGGAAAGCGCAAGAGCTGTTAAGATCTTCTTGAAATGCGAAACCCTCGTTTGACGCTTCTGCGGTAGCTGCATGAGCATGCGCTGGAAAATCGCATAACAGTTTTGTGTTGGGGATGGGTGAGGTCGATGCCCCGAGAGCCTCGCAGATGCGCAAATAGTGCAGGCAATACCTGCCGTCAGAGACCGCACTCTTGAACCGATAACCCCAAACAGGACGAATCCAAACATGCTGGAACAAGAAACTGATAACAAAAAAGTCCGACAAGCAGCCATGCTCCCGATTGTTTATGAATGTCTAGAGTCTCTACGGTGATATTAGCCAATGACAGTGTTACATGACAATTCAACGCCATACCAGATCCAATGACAGTAGCAACACCGACAACAGCAAGCGTACTCATCAGCCAGCGCCAGCTATACAAAGAACGCTGACCAAGGCAAAAATGATAGTCCCAGCAGGAGCAGTGACAAGAAACGATACCACCAACCACAAATGAAATTAACCTCAGCAGCAGCAACAGCAGCAGCAGCAGTAGCAGCAGAAGCAACAGGCGAGAGCAACAGCAACTGAAACACGAACCGCAGCAACAGCAACACCACCAAGAACAATCAGTATCAGGAAACAACACTGTTAAAGGTCGCACGACGCCGAGAACGACGACGACAAGTAGAAGAACAAGAAGAATGATAAGAACAACAAACACAAGAACGGGAACAACTACAGGCAGGAACAATGACAGAAACAACAACAGGAGCGATAGCAGTAACAATGACACAGACGATCGCTTCTGTGATCCGCTCTATTCTGAATCCAGAATCCTCCCAGAACCTTTAGATGACTCGCATTCGCCGTGGATGCCTTACTGCCTTGACATGGTTGAAAGTGTAAGGTCATGTCTGTTTGCAAAAGGTTTCAATCGCACGCAAACCCCAGTTGCCTGACGCCCCGTCGCAGAGCCGGCTGCTCTTCTTTGCACCTTTCGATGGTTCCGCGGCTGCGAATGTCTGAGTCTGTTTGAGGAAGTGGTCGTGACTTTGAGGCCTGCATGGCTCCGTACATGCTCCATGTCCCAGACAGGGTCACCCGACTGCTCAAACTGACTGACAGCACCACATCAAGTCTCTACAGCCATGAGAAGGAACTGCTCTTCAATGGCGAGTTGCTGGTCGCCTGCATCGTGCTCTTGTAGAGCACTAGAGGCTAAGAAAAGCTCCTCAGCAGTCATAAGCATGCCGAGCTTGCTGATGTCCGGATACGGCGCGCTTTGGATACGGACCGAACAGGCACGGGCACACCGACTGAGAGGCCACTCCATACTGACACGGGGCCTACGAATCAAAGCGCATTCGCAGAAGTGTTCCAGCTGCAGCTGAAGATTCGGGGTTCTGTAGCAGCGCTGTGGCCACCATTACAGCAACACCTTCGGCTTGGCAGGAAATGTGTTGCAACACACAAGTGATAAGTGTCATCATTGAAACCCGGCTCAGGTTTGTGGTCTGAAGGAGTCGAATTGCGGAGCCGGTGGTGGACTTGATCTGCGAATCTTCCTGCCGCTTTTTCTGCGGCCAAGGAACGAACCCTGGAGCTCGCCTTTTCAATGGCCAAGGAACATACAGCTGGATTTCCTACGAGCGAGTGCAACGAAGCTTCCTCGAAGCTGAAATCCTCATCCTTCGGCTATGCTACTGCGACCCTCGCTTGGCAAGATGATCTCTATGATAGAAACAAACGCTCGTCCCAGGCACAGCCCGTTTCCTGGAAGCACCGCTCGGCATCTCCAGGTGCATCGACACCGCCGTTCGCCACCTCAAGGCTCCCCAGTAGGCCCGTGCTCGTGTCTGTTGTTGTGAGAGTAGGAGCGGGAAGCTTTCAGATCAGGGCTGTCACTGTTCCTGTGTCACATTCAAACAGGAGGCCGTGGGGAGCCGCAGCGCCTCACGCACGGCACGGATAGCCTGGCAGCGTCAACGGGGAAAGTGCTGTTGGCCTCCCTGAACGATGCATGTTGCTATTGCCGGGAATTGGAGCTCTGCTTGCAATCCTCACCCTAAGAGGACTCGCTGTTTTCTTAAGATTCATGCAGCAGAGGCAGGTCGGCTCAGAGGCAAAGGCCCTGTGGCATGATTTCTGAACTACGTGTCGCGTCAATGTGCGTCAATCTTGCTGCTGCTGCTGCCTGCGACGATGCTTTCATCATCAGTAACAGCAGCTACTGCTCATCCTCCTCCTGCTCTCTCCTGCTCTGAGTGTCTTCCGGTCCCGGTCCTGGCCTGCCAGTTCGCGGGAGCGTGGTGCAGTGCCCGGTCCCGCTGTCGGCCGTGGACGGTGACGAGGGAGCAACCAGCCTCCTGCACATCAGCAAAGCGGGCACTTCCACCGGGGCAAAGGCGGAAGTCTCCTTCCGCCTGGTCCTTGTGGCTGAGGAGCAGGGAAGAGCACTCAGTTCTGCAGAAATGGATCCTGCAGCATCTTGGCAAAGCGCACGGTCTTGCGGTCATCCGCCTGCACAGATGATGACAGCAAGAGAAGATGGCCGATCGCGACTCTGCTATCAAACACCAGTCTAACGCAATTGCTTCTGCTTGGTTCGTATCATCTGGCTCAATGCTCCAATAAGCCAAGCTGCAAACACCCGGATCTTGCAGGTGACGGGCACCCGAAGCGAAGGCGAAGAGGCAGCATGTCTTACAATCGCGTAGACGATATGCCAGTTTTCTTCGTCCATCAGCGCGCCGCCCCATCCACCTTCGCAACGTCTGGGCATAGGATGGCTCAGCTCCTTGAGTGAGTCCCGGGAACTGCTTGGGGGGGCGGCCTCGCATGGCTTTCGACTGGGGGCAGCCGAGGTTCAGATCGACGGCATCGCACCTGTCCTGCTCACGCGCGCTGCAGCCCGCGCTTCGACGTTCGGAACATCTTCCCTCTGGGGCGCTCTCTCCGCTGCTCTGCTCATCTCCGCGCCTGCACCTGCAAGGCGGCCTCCAGGAAGGCCTCTGGCGACTTGGCGCAGAATTGCACCACCAGCGGCCTGCGGCAGACCGAGGCTCCGAAGGCTCCGAAGGCTCCGAAGGCTCCGCGGCTCCGAAGGCTCCGAAGGCTCCGAAGGCTCCGTCTCCGCCTGTCTTCCGGGCAGGTGGTGAAGCCTTGCCGCACCATCTCCTCCTCGGAGCTGCCTAGCACTGCAGAGCCGCACGCCAAAGCAGATTTCTTCGGAGATCTTCAGCTTGGTTGAGAGATTCTGGCTCTTGGATGCAAGAGCCCGGGGGCGCTGTGGGTGATACTCTAGAAAAGCCATCATCAGCTTCAGATGAGCTATCTGGGTCAGCATCCAAAGAAAGGAAATTGGTTCGACAAGGGTCGAACTCTGTGGGATCCGCAGAGCAACTAGGATGGAAGCGACTATGGTGACGACAACAGTCCGCCGCTGCCTGCGAACTCTTCGGCATGCCTCAAGTTTCATCGGCGAGCCACATGTCACGAAACTGCTCCGCATATGGGCAAGGACACATGACATCTCCAGCTTCTTGCATCCAGCATGCAGCATGGGCGTGTAGCAGAGATCGCACCCGGATTTGCGCAAGAGGAGGCGGTAAGCCAGCTCAGACTGCCCGACCATAGGTGCACACACGAACCGCGGCGAACCCAGCGTCTCACCTGGCAGGCAGGGAAAGACTAGTGCAAAAGCAGCTCAGATATGCACCTCCGTGTCAGTGTGGGTTCTTGTGAAGCCTGCACTGAGCCCATGGCGATAAAAGTTCCATGCATCCTTGACTCGCGTATCCTCATCTGGCAATTGGCCGAGGCCTTTGCCGCTCCGGGCCATGAAGGAGATCCGGCAGCTGCAGGGCGCTTCGGGGGAATGGAAGGATCAGGGACGGGTTGAGTGCTCGGAGCCGCTTTCTTTCCGCGATGTGTGGATGTGATTTTGTTGTAAAGCCTTTGCCTTCAGCAGGCTATCTTTCGCCGCTTCTGCTCAGGAGCTTTTTTGCGACGCCACTTGGACTTGGACTTAGGAGAGCTACGCACGATGATCGGTCGGCTTGTGAGAGCACCTGGACGGGCTGCTGCCGGTGCTCTGGAAGCATGTGCTGTCAACAAAGCTTGAGCCACTGGCTCAGAGTCTCAGAGATCTGCGACAAGTGACAAGTGGTGGTATACTTTATACCTTGATTGAATGAAGGCGGATGATGGCGGTGACATGCACAGACATGTCATTTCAGAAATCAAAGGGGCCGCCTCGTGGCATTCTGCCGGCTGCGCTCGCTGGCGGCGAGCTTGCTCTCGATGGCACGCAGCTGCGCGACACGGATCAGGAAGCAAGGGAAGCGACTGATGTGCAAGGTCATGGGACACAGAAGCGTTCGGGGCTGGTCGAGCCCAGTCCTGCCTGCTCATCCTTCTGTTTCAGGAGATGCTCCAGCTCGCGCTCCATCTCTTCCCTCACCTCAAGACACATGGACGCGTGCAGTGACCGTGGGTGCACGAGGATGTCCGGCCTGCCCAAGAGCTGCATCAGACGCCTCCCACGGACGGCTAAACACGGTAGCACCGGATATGTCAAAATCGACTGGCGCTCGAAACACCTATAGTTTCACGGCTTCCCGGTGTCTGGAGCAAGAGAGCAAGACTGCAAGTCGCCCGGTAGTATCAGAAAGCCCTTCAACACGAGTACCGCTGACACTTCTTACGATGTGGCTCGTATGCATTCATGCCTTGCAGGCTCCCTCCGAGCCCCGCTTCGCCCAAGCAAGCCTCAGTGGCCTGCGCCCGCGCCCGCTCAGATGCAGCGGACGCCTCTCACGGAAAAACACATGAACACTAGATGCCATTGAAGGTGCTGCTAAATATTCCAGCGATGATCTCATGACTGATGCTCGCCGCTTCAATCCAAAACAATGTCTGCATGTACAAGGGACATGCTTGATGGCATGGAGGGGACTCGCAACAACGTTCGGAGACTGCCAGCGACAAGTCACCGGTCACAAGCAAGCTCATCGTTGGGCGAACCGAGCTGACATGGTCGGGCCCCAATGAACTCCACTCCTTTCGGCGCAGGGCGGAATCAGGAACCTTGCAGAAGGGCCGCGGCACCAGCGGCCCTGTGACTCGACAGCGGCATGCCGCGGCGCAAGCGATCAAGGGCACTTCTGTCTGCAAAATCCACCCCGTTCCCCCGACGTGCCGTCACCAGAAGAAATGAGGGAGTCGTGGCTGGGGGCCCCGAGGACTTCCACACTGTCTTTCCACTTCTTAGTGAGTATTCGCTGCTGCAGACTGCATCTCCAATCATGACAGGGGATGTAGTCGAGTCCAAGGCTTTCTGCGAGTCCCTCCCTGCGCCTCCTGCCGCAGCTGCTCGGCCTCGCGCTGCAGCTGCGCTGAGGCGGCCTAGCCCAAACGATTGAGCCCCTAAGCCCCGGCCCGGCGGGCCTGCGACGCCCTGCGACTTTCGCAGGGCCGACCATCGCCTCTGCCTGCTGCCGTGCCGCCTGCGCCTCCCTGCAGTGCGCAGAGTTGCAAGCAAGGCCACGGCGGCCACGGTACACATGTCTCTCCGGCTGGCTGCTTCTGGGTCAGTGGCGTCAGCTGCATCGTCATGCAGCCCATCTTCTCGGAGAGCTGGCGATCACGGGATTGACTTTCGGCTGCGCCGTGTGCACTTGCAATTGCAGGCGTCTCTCAGCTCGGAGAGTGGCAGGGAAAGATCTGCAAAGAAGAGGTTACAGATGCTTCCGGAAAGCTTCCAAATGATGGCTTTAGGCATTCAGCCTTGCGGCTTCCCTACGCTCAAGCCTGAAACTCGAACGATCCTGCTGACACGCAGAAAGCAACCCAAGCCTGCAGCTCGACGTCCTTGGCTGCCGCAGACTCGGACTCAAGTTCCTCGATGCGGGCCTTGCAAGGGTGTTGAAACGGAGTTCAGACCTGAGGTCCTGATGCAGTACATACACACATAGATACGTACATGACATAAATACATACAATACAAGAGAATACAAAACAAAACAGAACCTTACATACATACAGACATACAGACATACGGACATGCAGACATACATACGTGCGTGCAGATTTCTGCGCATACGTACAGACTTAGACTAGATGTTGGCCGAGATCTTGCTGCTGTATCTGTATAGTATAGTATTGGGAAAGACTATTTTTGTGAAATTGCACAGCTATCCATAGTCACACGTAGTTAATAGTCATTCTTGGGTAGGTGTTGGCTAGGCTAGTCCACAATATACCACTTGGTCTTACTCGAACCGATCGAATGCAATCTTCATATTGTGATATATTATGTTCGCATAGCTTACACTGTCAGACATCCGACCTTTTTGCGTGCACGGCTTTAAAAATGCTCGGATGTTGCTGAGACATGTTTAGTTTGTTAAAGGTGCGGCCTACTCTAACGCTTTCTCTTGCCATCATTATTGAAAACAAGCATCGTACGGGATTTAGGAATCAGAGGTGGCGTTGTCAAATGACTCAACCCGGTCAGACATATTGTTCAAGCATTCTCACACACACACACACACACATTATATTGCCGATGATACAAGAGCTTGCGTCTGCAAGTGACACTTTATTGCCGTCATCGTATGTGGCAGTTTGTGGTAGTGCCTGACCGATATGACTGCTATTGCTTCGTCATCCGCGTAACTCTTGGTACTGTCGCAACTTTACCCTGGGTTGCTGCCAGCAAGATTACCACGTCATGGCCTCTGTGGCATGTGTCTCCATTCCGATAGCTACTAGTGTTGTGTGTTATCCTCATTGCGTCTACTTCTGTTACTGCTACGATAAACGTGACTGTGCTCGTGTCAGGTACACATATACATATATGTCCGGACCCCTCATAGGATCCAAGACAAGAGATGGTGTTATGACGAAAGCCCGCCCTATCCCAAGACGTATAATAGTAGGATGCCCTGGGCAGATGTAGCTACAGAAGCCGAGATATGCGTGTTGCTTCATAAACATGCACCCTGATGCAACCTCAAGCTTTCCTTAATGTCCTACATACTCTGTAACGGTTCGTGTTCTTATGGTAAATAGTCTCAAGCAATCCATCATACCGTACCACGACTGCGCACCTGTAGGTGCGCAATTTGCTGCACGGCACCCATCAAGCGCGCCTGTGACCAAACACGGCCCACCAAGAAGAGGATGCAATTTAACAGCCACTTCAACCATCCCGCGAGTCCATGACCACAGCAGCTACAACTCATAGATCACAACCTCAGATCTTTTGTTGGGCTGCTGTCCGGCTTTCGCGTGGCTGCTTTCTGAGAATTCCTTCGGAATCCCGGCAACAAAGGACTACCGCAGCGGCAGCTGCAACCCCTCAGGGCCGAAGTCTTCACCTGCTGCCGGGGGCTCGGGCCGAAGCCAGATCCCTTCTGTCTCTCCCTTACAAGGACCCACTATGGCCCGTCTTTCAACGGGCTCGGCTCCATCATGGACAGCTCCTCGACGAGTGTTCGCTGCGCCCTGAGGCTTGGCACTCACAGTGACAAGACATTGCTTGGGACATAGGCGAATGAGGATTGATGTTCCAAACCGGAGCTGTCGGCAATCGAAAGCTGTCAAAAGCTTAGAAGGGTCTCAAGCGGCTGACAGTTCAGCAGCAAGAGCGCGTGCTGCATTTACAACAGCAAGTGCAACAGCCCCAAAATGCGCCAAAAGCTGCATGGAATCCCTGAGCCCTGAATTCGGCAGCCTCGGAGTGGGACTCTGCCGCGACGGCGGCCGGATCTCCTTCTCGCGGATCTCGTGTTGGATGTTCCTGGCGGGCAAGAATGAAACGCGGGATGCAATATCGCAAAGCATGATACGGGGCAAGACACCACACGACACGACAAGAAGCCAAGATAACACAATGTGACGAACTTGAGCATCATGGGCGATTTAGGCTTTTAGCATCCACCCGTAGCGCACTCCCTGGCCTCCGCCTCGGATACTGAAACGCACGGATGTCCCCTCGGCTGCCGAACATCTGCAGGACATCGAGAGAACTGAACGTCGTGGAATACGAAGAGACAGAGAGAGATGGTCGATAAAGCGGAGACAGATAGATATATTTGTACGTGCTTATTGATCCTTACTTATTTACTTTCTTTCCTGCTTGCCTGACTGGCTGACTAACCGCCTGCCTGTCTGACTGAGTGCTGGCTGACTGACTGACTGACTGCCTGAGTTACTCATGTCTGTGTTTCGCGAACATGTATTCTTTAGATATACACATCCACATACACATATGCATGCATGCATGCATGCATGCATACATACATACAATGTCAGATATCCGCGTGAAAATGGCACACCAAAAGACCATGCTCGCAAGCTCTCTTTTGCATGGTGGATTGGTGTGGCTGCCGACTCCCGGGAAGTTCCTTCGGTCGAAGACCTCAGACAAGAATGAGGCAGTTCCGAAACAAAGGAGGGTCCCCTCCTTCAGGGCCTACGGCACCTGTGGATCGGGAACCCTCCTTGTACAGAAAAGAGTTCCAAAATTTTGTGCCGTCCAGAAAGAAGCCTGTACAGGAGGCAGCCACATCCTCACCGGGCGCCCTGCGCGGGCCCATGGGTGAGGTCAGAAGGATCGTCGAAAATACGATCTTCCAGGATAGAGCGGATGAGGGAAAAATGCTCGAGCACGGGTTCCACCGGCAAGCAGAGAGATGGAGTGAAACCTTGAAAGTTGGGATGAGTCAGGTCATCAGCCCAAGTGTTGAAGTCACGCTTGACGTGGGAGGGAGCGAGCTGCATACCATGCCGGTGCAGCTGGTACAGTATCTCCATGAGGATGACCGACGTTGGCATCCTCTTGGACTTATCGTTCAGGAGCGAGTACACATTCCCTTGGTTGTCGCTGACCAGGGGGAGCCTGAGGTTCGGTATGAACGCAGGCGCCTTCTCCATGAGAAAGTGAGAAAGGATCAGTGTGCCAAACATCTCGAGGGCAGCAATGCGCTTTTTCGGGCAGCCCTTGTCAAATGCCCATGGATGCCGCTCTGCAGTGACCTGGTAGTGGAACCAGAACACTTCCGACTTGGACGGGGAGTCCGCGTTAGAAAGCCAGCCGCCCACATAGGCGCTGCCATCATCTGAGGCGCTAGCATCACTTGCCCCCGACCAAATGGCAAGCGGGGCATACGGCGATGCTTGTCTGAACTTCTGGTCAAAAAGAGAGAGGAGCAGAGCTGAGAGTGCACGGATAAGCTTACCCGGACGTCCTGCGGTCAGGCAGGCCTTCTTCCAAGCCCAAAAGGGTTGGAGGAAAGGCTTGGTGAGGGGGCAGGCCGTTGTCGCCCACTGCAGCCTACCCAAAGCGCTAGCGATCTGAGAAGCCGACATGACTTTACCGCTTTTAAGCTCTTCAAGAATGCCGATGACAAGCAGGTGCTTGTCTCGGGCCATCTGCACACAGGGTCCTTTTGGGTCAATGACAAAGCCAAGCCAAGTATTAACCTCAGCAAGCAGGGTTTTCTTCCAGCTCAGAGGAGTGCCGAGAGCAAGCAACAGCAAGCAAATCGCTGTTGCCAGCAGAGGGGAATTCGATTTACGGAGCAGCCAGGCGAAGTCGTCGACAAAGACAAAACCCCAGTCGACCTCGGGAAACACGGCATACACAATCCTAAGAAGGATGGCAGCCATCCTTCCCCAGTAGAGCTGGGCACTGGCCATTCCATAGGTGCCTACGGTGTTAACCCACCATTCCTCACCAAGCTGGGCAACTTGGTAACGCCACTCTCGTAGGAGAATCTTGATTCTCCTGTGCGCCTTAGTAACATCAGCCTTGAGCAAGATCCAGTCCTCGTCAGAGCCCGGGAAGCTCCAGGGTCGGCCGGAGCCGGCACTGGAGTCTGCGTTGCCCGAGGGGCCGTCCTGTTCTCGGCTTGTTGCCCCTGGGGCAGTAGCCAGGGTTGCATGCTCCTCAGGATCAGGGCCATGGGCACCTGGTTTCCCACGAGAGCGAGATGCCCGAAGCCAGTGCAGGCATTGGACGCAGTCCATGACCGTCGGGGCCGTGGTTTTCTCTACGGTGTTCTGCTGTATACGGAGATTAGCACCACCCTTAGACCCGTCGAAGATGGAACGGATCTTGTCCGACTCATCAATCCCTGCCATGGGGCAGGGGCAGAGCTCGTCCTCTGCACATTGGCAGTGCGCCGCTGCCTCGGCGCGGGTGCACGGTCCAATGACCATGCCCAAGGGGGTTTCCTCAACAAAAGTGGCCCGAATCTCCTCCCTAAATGTGTCCGCGGAGGAGTAATTGGCATGGCCAGTGGGGGGTGGAGCTTCCACCGGGTCCCACTCTTCACCAATGAGTTCCGACTTCAAGGGCCAGACGCCCGGAGATTGGAGAGTAGGGGTATCCACTCCAAGAGGGACTCCTTCTTTTAGTATCTGCGGATACTCAGCATCGACATCTTGGATGTCACACAGGAGCCTCCTGATCACGTCCAAGTGAAAGGGCTGTCCAGCATCCGGTTGGGTGCGCCGGGGCAAGATGAAATCACGGATCTCGTTGAGAACAGATTCCGGGAAGGGGTGCTGCTTGGCACCCGCGGCCGTTGAGGCTAGAAAAGAGGGGACCAACGGCCCCGCCTTTTCGCGAATGAACTTGCCCAGAGCACGAGCCGTCGGTCCTTTGCGAAGGTGTGGAGGGGTCCTACCCGGAGAGGTCTTACCTCCACCATCCCTTAAGGGGCCTAACCTTAAAGCCATGGGTCACACGCATTGTGGCATCGTCTAGGGTAAGCTTCTCCGAGAGCGGTAGCGTCGAAGGCCGATCACACCCAATCATCGGGGTCGCAGCGAGCAAGTGATCGCCTGCCTGGGTACCTGCACCAGGAAACCCAGCAATCTGACGCTTCCCCCCCAGCGAGGGTAGGGAGGGTTGAACAGCCGCCCCGGGGGGTGCTGACCCTTGAGCCGCCCAGTGAGGACGCTCCTGTCCCAGCGAGGGACCAGCAAGGAGTTTGGAAACAGGTTCCGGCGGTGAATCCTTTGCTGGAGAGCCTGTGTCGCGAAGTTTACCAGCTAGTGCCGATGCGATACACTGTAGCATGGCTTCAGGTCGTCGAGCGTCCCCCGGCACGGGACGATCCGGTTTAGGGTGATGGGTGTGTGTGCAGGTCTTACCCTCCCAGGATTGGAGGGGAAGATTCGTCACGGCTCTAGACGGCCGACTAAAAACCCAACCAAAGGAACACAGATCAAAGTGCAGAATACGAAGACCTAAATCTGAGGTCCAAGCACGCAGAGCCGAAGTGGCCCAGGCCGATGAGGTTAGTAGGAGCATTAGACGAAGTCGCCTTGAAGGCAAGCCATGTAAGCAGAAGGAACCTAAGGAGCAGGGTGCTCTCCTCATCCGCCGAGTGGAGCGTTGCCTCAGGGAGAGCGGCAATACCCCAGGCGTTCTCCGCAGAGCGGGACCTAACTGCCTGGAGAGTACCCGAGTCCTGAAACCATCTATCCAAACCCCAGGTGTTGAGGTCCGGGCATCCTCCCACAAAGGAGATGCTTCCTTGCAGCGCCGACGCACAGAGAGACCCAAACAGTGTGTTATTAAGGAGGTCCTTACCAGGGGGCTTCCTAGAGGAATCTAAGGCCAGAACTCTCGAGGAGAGGTCTGGGGCTTGAGCGTGGAGGATCGCTTCAAGGGATGAAGCATCCTCACGGCCCGCGAATGGCAAGATTATGGCACCCTGAGGAATGCTGGCAGTGCAATCGGAGGGGGACCACCGGAGTCTCCGGACCAGGCGGTCGGGGACCCCATTAAGCCATTCAGGAGAACAATTTGCAGGCAGAGAGCCCGGGTAATGTTCCTCAATCCAAGGCCCGAGAGAGAAGGGCTTGTCATCCGAGGGAGCACTACCAGAGGGCTGCATGCCCACTTGAATGGTGTTCCCCCCTGGCGCGGGGGCGGTCTTCCCACAGGGAGATCGCGATCTGTCCCGTGCCTGTACTCCTTCAGGGCCAAGGGCACCTGGTGTGGAGAGGGCAACTCGTGTCTCCACTTCCGACACTTCTCTTCGTTCAGGGCCAAGGGCACCTGGGACTGGAAGTCCTCACTTGTAGGGACAGTTGTCCGGACTGTGCTCATTCGGAGGGGCATTGCAAACCCAAC